TTTTTTAATTTACTGTTACTAATGAACCCTATACTACGAAACATAATCTTCGTCCCTCAACTTTCGCGTAGTATGATGTGATGCCCAGATTTTCACGTGATCTGACAGGTTGTTATTCATTTTCGCAATCCGTCCCCTCCTTATCCTGAAGGTTTTTCCCATTTCATTTATTGTGCACATGATTCACTCTCCCATCCCCCAATCTCCCTCCCTCCCTCACTCTCCCTCTCCTCTCTGCTTCACGCTCTCTTACAAATAGCGTCCTCTCACTCTCCCTCTGCTGCACTCTCTCTTACAAATAGTAGCGGCCTCTCACTCTCCCTCTCCTGCTTTCACTCCCTCTTTCTAATAGCATCCTCGCACTCTCCTTCTCCTGCTTCACTCTAGCTTGCAAATAGCGTCCTCTCACCCTTTTTCCCTCACTCTGCTTCACTCTCGCGGCATCCAGCACGAACCCAGTAGTAGGGGTTTCGTTTTGCTCTTGACGCAGGCGTTTCCTTATATAAAGCTGGCGTTAGAAAGGGAGGAAATGTCCTCTCGTGCTCCCTCTCCCACTTTCTCTCACAGAAAAGACTCGCCTCTTCAACTTCCTCTCCTCCCCATCCCCACCCCCTCCCCCTCTTCCCGGCTCCACTTTCCCCCCTTTTCCCCTCTCTCCCCCTCCATACCCTTTTACAAAACGTACGCATGACAAAATACAATCAGCAGGTCTTCTGTACTCGCTACAAGACGCTACTACCGCGCAGCTTCATTAGACTGTGCAAGCTAGTTCTGCGCACACGCGGCCATAACTGTTTGGCCTGTAAATCTTCGTTACAACGTTACCGCCACCGACCCCGAATTTGACCTATAGTTTTTCCGGAATGGACCACTCAAAGGACGACCTACCAATCACAGAAAAGCGGCATTGGCCGGCAAGGTTTGGCCTAGACGATGAGGATAACGGGGGAGGGGAGGGGGACGACGGGAGGATGGAAGAGAAGAGAGGCGACGAGGGGAGGGAAGGGGAAAAGGGGAAGGGAGGAAAGCCAGAGGCGGAGAATGCAAAGCAGGGGGGAAGTTTCCGCGGGGGGGAGGAAGGGGAAATGGGGAAGGGAAAGCAAGAGGCGCAGAGTGCAAAGCAGGAAGGGAGCAGCAGCAGGGTTGGGGGGAGATGTTCGGGGGGACTGTTAGAACCGCGCCATCAGCAGCAGGCGGAGCAGCAGCAGGAGAAGGAACAGCAGGAGAAGGAAGAGCAGCCGGAGGAACAGCATACACAACAGCAGATGGCAGCAACAGAAGCATTATTAACGCCGCCTTCAGCTTGTAAGGGCAATACTACTACTAGCAATACCAGATGTTCCGGGCTCCCTGATGTTCCATACGCTTTAAGAACTGTATCAGCACGAGAACAGAGCATGCTAGATGAGCAGCAGTGGTGGAAGGAGATTTTAGGAGGGGATGTTACTTTGGGAGCTTCAGCTGGAAATCTGGGTGGTGATTTGGTCGGCAATGTGGGCGGCAATGCAATTGCCAATTTGGGCGGCGATCTTATAGAGAGTTCGGGAAGAAGAAGCAATTTAGATAGCGCAATTATGAACAGACTAATCAGCAATGATTTTGCGCCTACTATGCCTGGTTTTAACGAAGAGGGATTCCTGCTGGACCAAGCTTTTCTGCCGCAGTTTCCTGTGCAGGACCAGCAGCAGCCGGTGCTGTATCAGCAGCAGCCTGTGCAGGATCAGCAGCAGCTGCTGCTGTTGTCGCAGGGTGTTTTTCAGGCGCCTCTGATACCTCAGGGTCCTTATCCCCAGCCGCCGCCGCAGTCGCAGCCGCAGCCGCAGCAGGAGCAGGAGCAGGAGCAGCTGCAACAGCAGCAGCAGGAGCAGCAGCAGGAGCAGCTGCAACAGCAGCAGCAGGAGCAGCAGCAGGAGCAGCAGCAGGAGCAGCAGCAGGAGCAGAAGCAGCAGCAGGAGCAGCAGCAGCAGCAGCAGCAGCAGCAGCAGCAGCAGCAGCAGCAGCAGCAGCAGCAGCAGCAGCAGCAGCAGCAGCAGCAGCAGCAGCAGGAGCAGCAGCAGGAGCAGCAGCAGGAGCAGCAGCAGCAGGAGCAGCAGCAGCAGGAGCAGCAGCAGGAGCAGCAACAGGTTTTTCTGTCACAGAATGTTTTTGAGGAGCCTCAACCCATGCAGGCTCCTTTTCCCCAGCAGCAACAGCAGCAGCAGCAACAGCGGCAGCAGCAGCAACAGCAGCAGCAGCAACAGCAAAAGCAGCAGTATCACCAGCAGCAACAGCAGCAGAAGAAACCACAACCACAGCTGCAGCAGGGGCAGCAAGAGCGGCAGCAGGGGGGGCAGCAGGGGCAGGAGCAGCGGCAGCAGCACGAATGGGAGGCCATTGCCAAAAGCCTCATGGAGAGGGTAAGTGGGGCAGGGAGAGGAGGAGCAGGAGGAGAAAATGGAGGGAAGAGTTTAAGTGACGGGCAGGGAACGTGCGGGAGAGGGGAGGAGAGGAGGGTGGTCCAGAGAAAAACAGAAAAGGGTTTCGGGTTTTCGAGAGGAGCGAGTGAGGGAGGTACTGTGAGGAGAGAGAGTGAGGAGGAGGTTGAGATGGGAGTGAGTGAAGGAGGAGTGTTGGGGGGGGATAGTGTGATATCATCTTTGCAGCTTGGTGGTCTGCTCACGTTCCGAGCTTCAGAAAGTGGAGGAGGAGGAGTGTTGGGGACGGATAGTGTGGAAGCAGCTTTACAGCTTGGTGGTCTGCTCACGTTCCGAGCTTCAGAAAGTGGAAGAGGAGGAGTGTTGGGGGGGGAGAGTGTGAAATCATCTTTGCAGCTTGGTGGTGTGCTCAGGTTCCGAGCTTCAGAAAGTGGAGGAGGAGGAGCAGCAGCAGGAAGAGTAGGAGTAGGAGGAGCAGCAGGAGAAGCAGCAGCAGGAGGAGAAGGAGGAGCAGCAGGAGAAGCAGCAGCAGGAGCAGTAGGAGGAGCAGCAGGAGAAGCAGCAGTGGGATCAGAAGGATATCAAAGTGGGGGGGAAACGGGGTGCTTGGGACAAGGAGACATGGCCAAAGAGAGTGAGAGGGTGGTGTTTGACATGTCACAGAGGGGGAGGAGTCTAGAGATGACTTTTGAGTCGACTCAAAAGTCATCTCAAAGTGGGGGGGAAACGGGGTGCTTGGGACTAGGAGACATGGCTAAGGAGGGTGAGAGGGTGGTTGACGAGCTAAATGCAGCAGCAGAGCAGATCAGGCAACACATGTCACATCTGCAGCCGTTGGATCAGCAGCCGTTGCATCAGCAGCCGTTGGATCAGCAGCCGTTGGATCAGCAGCCGTTGCATTATCAACTGTTAAATCAGCAGCAGCCGCATCAGCGACCGTTGGATCAGCAGCTGACCCCAACCCACATGCAGTCGATCCCGTCCTCTTCTCCCTGTGCTGCGCCTTCAGCTGCCGCCCCTGCTGTTGCTTCCCATCCTTATGCTTGTGAGTCTTACACTGCTGCTCCTGCTGCCGCTGCTTTTGCTGCTGCGTCCCCTGCTGCTTCTGCTGCTGCGTCTTCTTATTCATGTGCCGCCTTTGCTGCTTCAGATGCAACTACTGGGGTTGAAATACTGGCAGAAGCAGCAGCAGCAGAAGGAAGGGGTGCAGCAGGAGAAGCAGCAGGAGCAGCAGTTGCGGGAACAGAAGGAGGAGCAGCAGGAGGAGAAACAGAAGGAGGAGCAGCAGGAGGAGCAGCTGGAAAAGCGGCAGGAGGAACAGTAGGAGGAGCGGCAGGAGAAGCAGCAGCAGGAGCAGGTGCTCTGCCTTCTCCTACTGCCCAACAATATTTGAGGCAAATTCAGCTCCTGCAGCTGCAACAAGCAGGAGGAGCAGCAGGCGGAGGGAGCGCAGAGCAGGGAGCAGAGCAGGCAACAGAGGGTGCTCTGCTTTCTCCTACTGTCCAACAGTACCTGAGGCAAATTCAGCTCCTGCAGCTGCAACAGCAAATGCTGCTTCTGCAGCAGCAGCAACAGCAGCAGGAGCAGCAGCAGTTGCAAGAACAGCGGAACCAGCAGCAACAGCAGCAGATGCAACAACAAATGCTGCTTCTGCAGCAGCAACAGCAGCAGGAGCAGCAGCAGCAGCAGCAGCAACAGCACCAACAGCAGCAGGTGCAACAACAACTGATGCTGCTGTTGCAACAGCAGCAGCAACAACAACAGCAGGAGGCATCAGCCACATCAACAGCCCTAGTCGCAGCCTCAAGACGTCCCACCCAACCTCCCTACCATTCTTTCTGGCAACCACAGCCGCAAGAACACTGGCAGCAGCAGCAGGAGCAGCAGCAGCAGCAGAATCAGCAGCATCAACATCAGCAGGAGCATTCAGCCGCGTCAACAGCCCTTGTAACAACCACCAGGAAACTCACCCAACCTCCTTACATTGCTTCGTGGCAACCACAGCCGCAAGAGCAGCAGCAACAGAAACAGCTGCAGCAGCAGCATCAGCAGGAGCATTCAGCCGCATCAACAGCCCTTGTAACAACCACAGCCACCAGGAAACCCGCTCAACCTCCTTACATTGCTTCCTGGCAACCACAGCCGCAAGAACACTGGCAGCAGGAGCAGCAGCAGGAGCAGGAGCAGCAGCAGGAGCAGGAGCAGCAGCAGCAGGAGCAGGAGCAGCAGCAGGAGCAGCAGCAGCAGGAGCAGGAGCAGCAGCAGGAGCAGGAGCAGGAGCAGCAGCAGCAGCATCAGCATCAGCAGGAGCATTCAGCCGCATCAACAGCCCTTGTAACAACCACCAATACCCCAACCCAGACTTCCAATCTAGCCTCCCGCCTTGCTGCCTTTGAGTCGACTCAAGAGCATTCAGCCGCGTCAACAGCCCTTGTAACAACCACCACCAAACTCACCCAACCCTCCAACCTAGCCTCCCGCCTCGCTGCCCTTCTCAGCAATCTACAGTCACAATCCGAATCCCCGCTCAATATAGTCACAAGCAAGCAGACTACCCCCAATCTGCCACCATCCGCAGCAGGGGAGATGGGGGGTTCAGCAGTAATCGCAGCAGCAGGGGGGTTATGGGGAGCAGAAACAGGAAGAAGAAGGTTCGGGGAGGCTGGGCGTTTTTCCCTTACCCCAGGGTTTGAGAGGTATGGGAAGGCGTTTCCCTTTTCTGAGGATTCTTCATTTGTGGAGGCTGGGAGTGTCGTTGCTTCTGCTGCTGCCGCTGCTGCGGCGGCGGTGGCGGCTAGTGCTGGAAGCTTCCTGGAAGCATCGGAGCCGGCGGCGCTGCCGGCCCCCCGGGATTCGTCCAATAGGAAGCATTTTCTGGAATCTGCTGACGTGTTGGAAGTGACAAGAGAGCAGGGGAGTGTTCTTGTAACGAGGGGAGGCTTAGGAGAACACAGAGTTACTGGAACTGAGGCAGAAGGGGTTGAGTTGGGGAGACAAGGAAGAAGAGGAGGGGGGAGCAGAGCAGTAGGTGTGGAGTTTGGGAGACAAGGAAACGGCCAACCCTCTGCTTTTCCATCCCAAGCAGCTTCCTCGTATGCTGCTTCGTCTTACGCTGCTCCCTCCCACATGCCCCTGCCCCCTTCACCTTCATCCGCCTTTGCTGCTTCGCCTGGCATGGTACAGAGGGGCAGGGCAAATGCTTCTCCTGCTGCCCCATCCCATGTATCTCCCTCTTATGCTGCCCCATCCCAAGTTCCCCTGCCCCATTCACCTTCACCAGCCCTTGCTGCTGCTTCGCCTGGTGTTGAACAGAGTGGCACGGGGGACATTTCTCGGGCAGGTGCTTCTTGGGCAGATTTTTCTCGGGCAGATTTTTCTCGGGCAGCTTTTTCTCGGTCGGACTTTTCTCGGGCGGATTTTTCTCGGGAAGATGCTTCCGAACCATGTCGGTTCGGGTTGCCTCGGCAAATGCCCGTGTCTGGAAGCGAGGCAGCGGCAGCGGCAGGAAGGAGCGAGGTAGCAGCAGGAAGGTTCCGGTCTCCAGAGGAGTTTATGAGGAGGCAACTCACTGCCATGGCTGAAGCGGTGGAGAGGGGAGACATGGTGAGTTGAAAGAAGAGAGGAGGCGTGTTGTTGAGAGTTAAAGGGAGGACATGGTGAGTTGCTTGTGCTCGTGCCCGCTTTACCATGGGTTATGGCAGTGTGCCTTGGGGAGAGGAGAGGCACGGTGGAGTTCATGAGGAGGCAGGTTACTGCCATGGCTGAGGGGGTGGAGAGGGGAGACATGGTGAGTTGCTTGTGCTTTACCAGGGGAGATGCTATGTGGGCAGTGTCTGGGAGCGAGGTAGTAGCAGCAGGAAGGTTCCGGTCTCCAGAGGAGTTTATGAGGAGGCAACTCACTGCCATGGCTGAAGCTGTGGAGAGGGGAGACATGGTGAGTTGAGCCGGGGAGACTGATTTACTACATGGTGGATGGGAGGGGCTGTTCAAGAGAGTGCGAGAGGTAGAAAGAGATGGAGTGCGGTCTGCAGGGATATGATGCCCTGCCCACTCAACCCATCCCCACATCCCTCCATCTTCCCCTTCCCCCCATTCTCAGGTGCAGGTGCAGCAAGCGTATCTACAGCTGAAGCCCCTTGCACGGCCCAAGGGAGTGGCTATGGAGAGAATAATTCACTATATGGTGGATGGGCTGTTCAAGAGGGTGCAAGGAACGGGGTACCAGCACTTCAGCACACCCGTTCGGAAAACTCCCAAGGTGCGTGACTGTGGTGGGGTGTGAGATAGCATTGGGTGTGATTGTAATGAGTGATTTGCTAATGGTGGATGGGCTGTTCGAGAGGGTGCGAGGGACGGGGTACCAGCACTTCAGCACACCCGTTTGGAAAATCCTAAGGTGCGTGGTTATGTAGTGAGGTTATGAAGTTAGTGAGTGGGGTTATAACGAGTGTGACTGTAGTGAGCTGGATGATGCCCGCTCGTGGTTCGCTACAGGCCCGCCCTACAGCAGTGTCCTAATGGCTCTTCCCTCCCTCTCCACCCCTCTCCACCGCTTGCCACCCCTCTCCACCCCTCGTCACCTCTCTCCATCCCTCTCCACCCCTCCCTTTCCAGGAGCTTGATGAGGCTCGTACGTGGTTCGCTACAAGCACGCCGTACCCTGCCTTTGGCAACATGGCTATAATGGAAATGTTCCCCCCTTCTTACTCCCATTCCCCCCCTCCCCTTCCCCTCTCAGGAGTTGGATGAGGCTCGTGCATGGTTTGCTACAAGCACGCCGTACCCCGCCTTTGGCAACATGACAATAATGGGCATGTTCCTCCATGCTGCCTCCTCTGCCTCCCACGTCCACCTCATCGATTTCGGAGAACTCCTGCCCTTCCACCTGCCCACGATCATGGAACTTCTGATGGGCTCTTCTGTCCCACTCCACCTCTTTCCACCGCATCCCACTTCACTGCACCGCACTGCACCGGTCTCCACCCCTCCCTTTTCAGGAACTGGATGAAGCACGCGCATGGTTTGCCACAAGCACGCCATACCCCGCCTTTGGCAACATGGCAATAACGGGGATGTTCCTCCCTTCTTACTCCCCTCCCCCCTCCCCTTCCCCCCCTTCCATTCCCCCCTCAGGAGTTGGATGAAGCGCGGGCATGGTTCGCTACAAGCACGCCGTACCCCGCCTTTGGCAACATGGCAATAACGGGCATGTTCCTCCATGCTGCCTCCTCCGCCTCCCACGTCCACCTCATCGACTTCGGCGAGCTCCTCCCCTTCCACTCCTTCCTTCCTCCTTACTCCTCTCCACCCCTCTCCACCCCTTTCCACCGCTTGCCACCCATCTTCACCTCTCTCCACTGCTCTCCACCCCTCTCTTTCCAGGAACTTGACGAGGCACGTGCTTGGTTCGCTACAAGCACGCCATACCCCGCGTTTGGCAACATGGCAATAACGGGCATGTTTCTCGATGCTGTCTCCTCCGCCTCCCACGTCCACCTCATCGACTTCGGAGAACTCCTCCCCTTCCACCTGCCCACGATCATGGAACTTTTAGCTGCCCGGCCGGGCGGCCCGCCGCACCTCCGCGTCACGGGGTTGGACACGACGACTTTCGTCTGCCCGGGGCGGAAGGATTTTAAGAATCTTCGGGCGGTGGCGGAAGTGGGGAGGAGGCTGAGGGGGTTGGCGATGCGGCTGGGAGTGCCGTTCGAGTTTGAGTATATCGATATCAATGAGAATCAACTGCACCTTCTGTACCAGGTGGGTGGGTTGGATCATCAGGAGAGCATGCTTCAAGGTCGATCATCTATGTACCAAGGGGGCTGGCTGGCTATGCGGCTGGGAGTGCCTTTTGAGTTTGAGTATATATCAATGAGAATCAGCTGCACCTTCTGTACCAGGTGGATTGAATCCGTCTTGTATGCTTCAAGTTCTGTGTGTACCAAACCAAGGAGGTTGAGGGGGTTGGCTATGCGGCTGGGAGTGCCTTTTGAGTTTGAGTATATCGATATCAATGAGAATCAGCTGCACCTTCTGTACCAGGTGGGTTCTGAGGCACCGCAATACCAAGTTGACTCAAAAGTCACCTCCTTGCGTTATGTCCATATCCACAAGAATCAACTGCACCTTCTCTATCAGGTGGGTTTGCAGCAGAGTTTTCAATACTCGTTTGCCCGTCTCTCTTCTCCCTCCCTTCCTCTCTCCTCCCGCTCAAGAGGATGCGGAGTAAGACGCTATTGCTGTGCGCAGCGCACAACTCAAGGCTCGAGCTTTCAGTGTTCTTCTTCCTGTTCCTCTCTCTCCCTCCTTTTTCCTCTCGCCCTCCTCTCTTTCCCTCCCCTCTCCCTCTCTGCGCCCCTTTCGCTGGTCGCATCTTTCCCCCACCTCCCCCCTCCCCTTTTCTCTCTCCTGCACGTCACTTGAGCTCAGTCTCCTCCTTTCTCCGTTTCCTTCCCTCCCCCTCCTCTCCTCTGCAGGTCGAGAGGCGATGGAGTGAGACGCTCGTGGTGTGCGCACATCTCAAGCTCATGTTCTCTTCTCTTCCTTCCCCTCTCTGCCCACTCCGCTGAAGGTCAAGAGGAGGTGGAGTGAGACACTGGTGGTGTGTGCACATCTCGAGCTCATGAACTTTCCAGACGATTCTGTTGTGGACCACGGGCCCAGAGATTGCATTCTCAGGGTGAGTAGCCCTAATTTATCAGCCCTTAATAGGTAACTAGTCTTGGAAACAGAGGCAGTGCATCTCGAGCTCATGAACTTTCCAGATGATTCTGTTGTGGACCACGGGCCCAGAGACTGCATTTTCAGGGTAAATAACCCTTATCATGAACCTTCCAAGTGATGCCTTCTGTGAACCATGTGCTTATGTCCCAAATTCAATCCCCTTATTGCATCCCTAAATTTAAGGCGTCTCAAAAGCCATCCCCCTTATCATATCTCCCTTTGCCCTTCTTTTCCCTACCTCTTTCGTTGTTATCCCTATTTTTTTCCTTTATTCTCATCCCTTACACCCCATCTCCTCCCCCCCACAGTGGATCCACGACTTAAAGCCCGCGGTCGTCATGTTCTTTGAGGCGCCTTTTGAGGCGACTTAAAGCCCGCGCTCGTCACGTTCGTTGAGATGGATCTCAACGCCAGCCTTGGCCTTTCTCTTCCCACCCTCCTTCAACTCCTCCTTCCCTATTCCCATTCCCTATTCCCATATCCTCTTCCCACTGCCTACTCCCATCCCCTGCCCTCATCTCCTACATTCCACAGTGGATCCACGATTTAAAGCCCGCGCTCGTCACGAATGTTGAGATGGATCTCGATTCCAACGCCCGCCCCTTCCTCTCCCGCTTCCAACACGTTCTCGACCACCACTTCTCCGTCTTCTGCTCCCACGACGCTCTAATCTCCTTTCCCCATCTTGAGTCTACGAGAAGGCTCCTTCTCTCACCCCCCTCCTTCCTCCCCCCCCTCTCTTTCCTGTCCCCTCCTCCGCCCCACCACCCCACAGTGGATCCACGACTTAAAGCCCGCGCTCGTCACGATTGTTGAGATGGATCTCGATTCCAACGCCCGCCCGTTCCTCTCGCGCTTCCAACACGTGCTCGACCACCATTTCTCCGTCTTCTCCTCCCACGACGCTCTAATCTCCTTTTCCCTATCTTGAGGAGTTGTTGGTTCTACGACAAGGCTCCTTCTCTCACCCCTCTCCCTCTCTCCCTGTCTCGCTTTCTTCCGTGCCCACATGTGCCATGTCATGTCCCATCCTGCGCCTCCCTCCCCCAGTGGATTCACGACTTAAAGCCCGCGCTCGTCACGATTGTCGAGATGGACCTCGATTCCAACGCCCGCCCGTTCCTCTCCCGCTTCCAACACGTTCTCGACCACCATTTCTCCGTCTTCTCCTCCCACGACGCTCTAATCGGCGCCGCCGACAAACGCCTGCTTTCCATTTTCGAGGATCTTTATTTCGGCCGGGCGGCGGTGAATATAATTTCTTGCGAAGGGGTAGAGAGGGTACATCGGCCCGAGACTCTGGACCAATGGCGAGGGAGGATGCTCAGGCTTGGGTTTGCGCCGAAGCAGATTCCCGGAGCTGTTACCGAGGCTATGAATAGTATGCTGAAGAGCTTTCCTCTTGGCTTTGGGTTGTTGCTAGAGGACGGGGCTATTAGGTTGGCTTGGAAAGGAACGACCACAATTCTTGCTCTTGGTTGGGTATTGAATGTGCCACCTTGAAATATCAAACTTTTTTTGTTCCAGCAATATATATTTTCGTCCGTTTCAACAGAAATAACAAGGTAATTCACTTTTGATGAAGTGTTTGCTGCATAGTGAGACATTAGGTCAAGCAGTACTTATTTATGACAGACTCGTCATTTCCAGGATCAGAGTTGGCAGTCCCATCCGAGCTGCATCGTTGCCGATCAGGTTCTAATTCCTTTCCAGGTCGTAATAACCCACTTCTGTAGTCCCTTGCGAACTCACCAAGAAGATTCGCGGTTCTTTTTCCTCCAATATAGATACATTCGCTTGCTGCAATCGCACGCCCTTTTTACTTCCTTTTAAGGTTTCGTGGATCCATCTGTTGCTCGCCGTGCGATCGGTTGTATTCAGAGTCACGCCGCGCTGTTAGCTTGTGAGTTCCGCGCCGTGCGTTAGTAGTTTGAGACGTTTGAGGCGCCGCAAAAGTAAACGCGAGGCGGGACGTGTCAGAAGAGGACACGTGGGCTGCGGAGGACAGGTGTACTTCATCTCAGTACAGGTCGACTTAAAAGTCGCCTCAAAAGTCAACGCGCTGCGGGACGTGTCAGGAGAGGACACGTGTACTTCATCAGTACAGGTCGACTCGAAAGTCAACTCAACAGTCAACGCAAAAGTCAACGCGCCGCGGGACGGGATGGAGCTGGAGGAAGCAGCGCGGGATCGGAAAGAGCGGCTGCGAGCGTTAAGGGAGGCGGCGTTGATCGTCACAACAGACGGCGAGACAACGGCTAGCCGGTTAGCAGACGGCGACGATGGAAAGTACGTCCACCTTCGGGGGAAGTGGGGGGAGGGGAGCAAGGGAGGGAGGAGGGGGGAGGGGGGAGGGAGGAGGGGGAAGGGAGGAGGGGGGAGGGGGGAGGGGGGTGGGCAGGAAAAGGAGTGGAAGGGAGGGAAGAAAGAGGGGCGGTGGTGTGTGGGTGGAAGGGAAGGGACGGGGAAAGAGGGGGATGGGAGGGAAGGGGGTCAAATTGTGGGATTTGCGGCACAAGTATTGCCGCTCTCTTGCGTCTTGAGTCTCTCAAGCCCGTAGCACTGTCTCTCTCTACCCCTTCCTAACCCTCCCCTGCCTGCATCACTTCTGAGAATTCTCTCAGTTACCATGATTTTCCTGGTCAACTCCCAAGCTTGTAGCACTGTCTCTCTACCCCTTCCTAACCCTCCCCTGCTTGTATCACTTCTGAGAATTCTCAAACCTGCCATGATTTTCCTGGTGAATTCCCAAGCTCGTAGCCATGTCTCTCTCTAACCCTTCCGAATCCTCCGGTTGCTCTGCAGGGAGAACGAGCCTGCAGCGGAGGTTCGGTTCCGAAGCTACTTGCCTCGGGATGACCAGCTGATGGAGAGGAAGCTTCCTCCAGCTCAGCTCCCCAAGTTCCAGGAACCTACCGCCGCCCAGCCACTCTTCTTGGACCCCAATGAGGTGAGTAAGTATCAGTTTAGGTTATAATAGTAATAGTACTAATAATGATAATAATATAATGTATATGTTAATAGGGGCTGGTAATCTAAGGAGGTGATATGCCCATGGCGATGAACAATGAGGGCCCACGTGCCAAGACGATGATGATGATGAACCAAGTAATTATGTGCACTCTCATCTCATCCTGCTGCCCGCATTCTCCCTCCCTCCATCCTGCTGCTGCTTCCCCCCACCAGGGCCCAGTGACAGCCATCGCTCCTCGCAAGCCCAACTGGGACCTGCGGCGGGACGTGGCAGCGCGGCATACCAATTAGTTTGGTGCACTCATGCTGCTGCCCTCATTCTCCCTCCTTCCCTCTGATGTTGCTACCTCCCACCAGGACCCAGTCCTGCGGCGGGACGTGGCAAGGCGACATACCAAGTATTTTGGTGCACTCATGCTGCTGCCCTCATTCTCCCTCCTTCCATTCTGCCACACCCTAAACCCACCAGGACCTGGTAACAGCAATCGCTCCTTGCAAGCCCAACTGGGGCTTGGGGTGGGACGTGGCGAAGCAATATACCAAGTATTTTGGTGCACTCATCCTGCTGCCCGCATTCTCCCTCCCTCCATTCTGCCGCACCCTAAACCCACCAGGACCCGGTAACTGCTATCGCTCCTCGCAAGCCCAACTGGGACCTCCGGAGGGACGTGGCGAAGCGATTAGCCAAGCTGGAGAGATGCACACAGCGATCAATGATCGAACTCATGAGTACGTGCTCCTCTGTTGGATCTTGTTGGGTTTCGTTTAATATTTTTTTGTTGCTGTATATGTTGGGGTTTTTCTACTTTTTTCTCTGCTCCCTGCTGCTTGTACTTCCTGGGTTCTCTTCTCCTACGTGTGTGTCTGCTCTGCATCTGCCCTGGTTTCTGCTTTTGTTACTGCCCTTTTTTCCTTGTCCTTTTTCCTTCGCTTTTCTCTGTTGGCTCCGCACTAATGCCGTGCTTTCACATACAGTGAATAGCATTGGGGTGACTGGTGCATTGACGTGAGTTTACCCAACAATTTTTATTTTCCTGCACTTTCTGACTGCATTTACAACAGGGGAAGAAGAGGAGAGGAGGCAGCAGCAAGAGTCGGGCATAGAAGGGTCTTGATAAACTGGAAACGGTAATTCAGCTGAATGAGATACCCGGTAGTACAGCATACTAGAATTGCTCATGTGACAGCGTATTGTGCAACTCTTGTTACCTTCCTCTTTCAGTTTTAGCTCATTACAGTAGACTTGTACCCGTGGTACACAAAACCCTGGATTTGCTACACTGCCATGCATCACACTGAGCAACTCATTACATCCAGCAAAGGCAATAGCTAAGCGCTAGCTAGGCACTACCTACGCACTAGCCAGGCACTAGCTAGGCACTAGCAAGCTGCACCTTACAACAAGCCACGATGCCTATTCCCATTCTCTCTCCAGTCACTTAGTGCTGCTTGAATCGCCTCAAGTTGCTGCTGCCACTTGGTTTCATCTCCCTCCTCCCCTTTCGACGCTTGAGCAAATGCTGGAGCTATGGCAGCAGCACCAGCATTGGCAGCACCGTGAGCACTTGCTGCACCACCACCATTATTCGCGGCACCAGCAGCAGCAGCGTTGCCAACGGTTTGGACGGAAGGGAAGAATCGACTCGGCGGTGCACCTAGGCTGTTGTGGTTCTTGTGGTGTGAGTCGGGCGGAGTGGAGTCGAGCAGGTCAATTCCAGCAATAGCATGCGTGTAGCGGGAGAACCCAGACAATATCCCCGTGCGAGGAGCAAACCTTCCACTGCCTGCATCTACTGCTGCGCCGTCTGCTGTCACTGCATCTTCTGCTGCTGCTGTTGCTCCTCCCGCTGCTGCTGCTCCTGCTTCTGCTGCTGCTGTCACTGCTGCAGCTGCTGCTGCTGCTGGTTTGGTCTGGACTCTTCGCGAGGCTGTTTCAGCACCAGCAGCAGCACCAGAAGCATCACCACCAGCAGCACCCGCAGCGGCCTTGTCAGGCAAAGGCTGTTTCCGTCTGCGCAGATGACAGGTCATGTGGCCGCCCAGAGCCTGTGACGTGGCAAAATTGAGGCCACAGAACGAGCAAGCGTACCCTTCCGGCCGCACGTGGCGCGTCCCGATGGGCGGCAAGCTCATGATTGCCCTGCGGCGGATCTCAATCAAATCGGCATCGAGTGTGTCGAGCGTATCAAATGTAGAGTTGAAAGAGTCGAAGGAGTGGCGGAATGCAGTCCTGGTCCGTGCATTCCCCTTATCAATATCACCAGCCGGTTGGGAGGCAGATTGCGGAAACCACGGTTTATTTGTCGTTAAAGTTGGTCTTTCTGTGCTTCTCCCTTCCAGCTGCTGCTCTTCTGGATTCCCCCACTCACTCCCACTTGCCGTCTGCCGTATCCCCCTTATTGAGTCACAGCGTTTAGCTCCAGAAGTGATTCCCCAGCTCCTCATTTCCGCACCTCCTGCCGTTGGGCCATGCCGTTCTTCTGGAGCTTGAGTGGAGCCGGAGGGTGTTCGTGTAAGTGCGATTTTTTGGAGAAGGGTATTTCGGAGATTACCCCTGTCGCTCAGCTGACTCCCGTCACTCCTGTTTGTAGCAAATGTCATTTCAGAATCCGTTTGCCCGTGGGCAAATTGATAACTGCCATGGCTCAAACTGTGACTGTACTCGATAGCGTGACTCAAATGAGGGCGTTTGTTTCCAAAAACGGGTTCTGAGAATTGTCGTCCCACATTTGCGATAGCTGCTCCACCTAAATTGCGCTTGCCAAGAACACTCCGTGGTTCTAAAAACGAATGCGTCCCAGTAACGGGGATTCCATTGTTCTCAGCAGGGGCCGAATGGAAAGTCATCAAGCGACGGGGAGCAGCCAAACCGAGGTTTTCGCTGTAGCCACCCGCGTTACAGTCACCGCGTTGCCACCCTGTTGGTGTTGCTGAAGTCAGCACCCCCAGATTTCCAACACCGGATCTTCCCGCCAAATCTCCACTCGGTTTGCTCACTTCGTAGCAATTATCTCTGCTACCCATCGTCGCACAGCTTCCCATTCCCCAGCTGTTCATCAGCAATTTCGGCGACTTGATTATGCCAGCTGAATCCGCCATTCGCCTGTCAAGATCCGCTGAAAGATCCGCCGCAACGGAGTTAGGGTTTCCAAAGTGAGCTGTCGCTCGCGATTCGGATTTCCAGGACATGGATGCGATTTCCTGACGGCGCCCGTCCGAGATGTCTGCCTTTCGAATATCACAGCTTCCGCCACTTAATCCGCCGCCGCCGCCGCTTATCTCGCTGTTCCCCGCCCACGCTCCGCCAGTGTCGAAAATCGCGAAGTCCTTCCAGCTCCGTTTCTTGTGTGACAGCGAAAGTCGTCGTCCTTCCACAGCCGTCGCAGCAGCTACCACAGGCGATTCTGACGGCGCTGTCGCCAAATCGACGCCACGAGGGACGAAGCGACTCCCCGCAAACCCCGCCTCCACCGTCGTTGGGGACTCGGTCAATGCGTCAGGACGTCGCAGTCCCAAGGAAGCGTCAGCAGCAAAGGTAGGAGCGGTATCATCCGCGCTAAGAGCCGACTCATCCTCCTGCTGTGTCGGGGGTTCGTTCAGGTCGAAACCCGACGCGATTCCGGCAGCGTTGACGGTTTCGCCATTTGCCGGGGCGACGGGGGAGTTCCATTGCCGTTTCGATGGCGAATCGCGTAATTCTGGTGCTTGCATCGGTACGCAGCCGCTGTTGTCACGCAAACGGACGTCTGCGTCGAAACGATCGCCATTAATGTAACCATTGGCGCATCGCGGCCCCATCCCAGCGCTCCCGTCAGCTGGCGGAGTCACGACGCGCGCGCATTCCACTGACGCGGAGCTCGGCGGCGAAGCAATTTCCGCGCAATCCTTCGCAGTACCCGCGGGCCCGTTTTCCTCACGCGTTTCTTCCGCGCAATCATTCCGACCTCTTCCAAAAATCAGCTCAGCCTGAGCAACAAACGGAGCCGCCTCCGCGGTGGCCCTCCGCCGCTCCTGCACCGCGAAGCTCGTTTCCGCCCTGCTCCATCTTCCGCCGGCGCCTGCTCCGACGCCTTTTTCTGGAGAAGTCTCGCCCATGACCTCCATAGCTCTGGTTGATACTCCACCGCGACTTGTTCCGCATGCGCCACTTATTCCGCCTGCTCCGCTTTCTCCGCCTGCTTCGAGTCCGACTTGGAGCTGCGTCAGACGCTCACAGCGGAGTTGCGCGAAATTTCGCCGCATGGCGTCGTTCAGCGGAAGCGTTACCGGGGAAGGTCGAGTTAAGCAGTCCTTTGAAGTGAGGAGTTCAAGAGTTTTAATATCTGGGGAAGAGAAATCTCCGCCGTCTTCCGTCAGTCGTTGTATGCTCTCGCGACGCCAGCCGTTCCATGCTGACGTTCCCTCGTTCTCAAACGGCGTGTTTCGAAACGCATCTAGCTCGATACTCGCTCTTCCCTGCCATGGCGCAGTCATCCTCAAAATCAAATTCGTCGTCAACTGTGGCTGGTTTTCTTACAGAAGTTCAGTATAACTTTCAGAGTCGCGAAGGAAGCAATTATGTATTGAACGCTGTTGGAGACTATGGAGACTGGATAAGGTTTCGCAGAGTGTTGTACAGTCACAGAAGTGAGCGTAAATTTTTTACACCTGGAACTTCAGTTGCTGCTTTGCTCTACATCTCCCACTGAGAAGCGAAGGCTGCGTTCTTGTTGTGTTGCAGTTGCTGTAACAGTTCTTGGGACAGGAGGAAATGGTGAACGGGAAGTCAGGAAGTGGAAAGGGGCAAGTCGGTACAACGGTACAGTGTTTTTTTTTTGGAAAGAGAAGAGAACACATTGAGAAGAACACATCAATCGAGTGCTAGAACTGATGTTAGACTGTTTCCAAAATTGAATTAGGGCGGGGTCAGCGCGTTCGTTTACAGTCTCATTACAGTTCATTCTAAGCGGTTACTCTCGTTCCGTCACGGTGAATAACGGTTCATTTATAGAAATGCTTCAAACCGATTGGAATCGTTTTGTGCCACGACAGATGAACTGCACAATTATGAAAAGTGAACGAGCTGACCCCGCCCTTACAGTTCCTATTGTCACAACACAATACTACAATCCAATTCAGTTTTGAGTGAATTTCCGTGCTTTCATCTGGTTCAGGGTAACTTCATGTCGTTGTGTCAGTTGTCGTGTAGTTCTGCTCGCCAACTGGACTTTGCAGAAACAAGTGGGTGAGCTAGCTGGACGGTGATTTGGTTCTCTCCACCACAAGAATCAACTTCTGGCACGCTTACAGATGAAATTCTGAGCGTGACTTGGCCCGTTACAGTATCCCAGATGTGGGATGCCAGCAGCGTGCTGCGCTGGAATGAAGTCATCATGGTTGAGCTGAAGGAAAATGTTTTTGTTTCTGCTGCTATGATGTTTTATTTGTTCTAATATAGTTTACCCTTTTGTGTACACAACCTACTCTTATTTTTCCATCCAAGGTTTTGCTATTTCTGTGCACACGTTCTCAGCCGGGTAAGTAGCTTTCGCAGGGGTACTACTAGCGACCCTGCGCTTTCAAGGTGACTACAGTGCTATATGCGGGCACTTTCCGCCACTCCGCCACTCCGACAGGAACATTATGGCAACAACACAGAACTCGGTCCCACATTCACCCACGTGTCACAAATTTCGCAAGCCACTGGAAAAAATATCCCTTTACTTGACCGAAAAAACCTAAAACCCAATCGGGAAGGGATGCGTCTCGGGGAGGCATCAACCCTAAAAATAATGTGGGTTCCCGTGTTTAGGGTTGATCCCTCCCGAAGATGAGTCCAGGTTCCCTATGAGTTTTATTTTTTTTGCCGTGCGTTTTTCTAACTTTCCAAATTTGTGACACGTGGGTGAATGTGGGACCGAGTTCTGTGTTGTTGCCATAATGTTCCTGTCGGAGTGGCGGAGGGGCGGAAAGTGCCCGCAACTAGCACTGTAGTCCCCTTGAAAGCGCGGGGTCGCTAGTAGTACCCCTGCGAAAGCTACTTACCCTTGTCAGGGGGTTCGGGGGTTCGCACGTGCTCCTCTTGGGCGTGGATATAGCCCAACCATTTTTTACCCAGCGAGAGTGAAAATAATAGGGGAGGCGGAGTACGGTTGACAGCCGGGTGCGGGGCACCAAGGGGGGTTTTTTTCCTCCTTGACCTTACCTTTTTTGCACCACACAGCTCAGGTAAAAGTATGCTCAGGTCAGGTGTCGTCTAGTCAGCATTTCGCCAATGTCTGTGCGTGTGTCACCACGCGGGCAAAACTAGAGTTGAGATTTAACACTAGATTGCCTAAGCGAGCTCAAATAGGCAAGGTTCCTTGAATATGCTAGTAGTTCAAATAACTGACTGACTATAACTGATATATCAGGGGACAATCCTGGCATGTTATAGCAGGGTGACGTTGGAGTCTAGCTCTGTAACGCAGGTTAATTAAGAAAGAGAACCCTTGCGTCCTCCTGAACCCTTTGTTGAGCCCCTGGACAAAAAGATCGAGATCGTGATGTCATCGTTATCACATCAATTAATAACCCCTTTGTCCTGCTGGTCCGCGTGCGATACCAAAATGTGGTGGGAGAGACTGCCAAGAAGAATTTCCCCAAAAATACGGGATTCCCGTCCACAGCAACCACATAAATTCACTGTAACGTGACGCATCAACTAACTTCGAGTCAAACCTCGGAACTTCATGATTTGCGATCACAAAGCAGCTGTCGGGTTTTCCTGAAATCCGCATATCGTATAACACCGTACAGTAGAAACACAAAACTACAAAACCTACATTTTCAAGTTGAAACTTTGGGAGTTGCATGAACACCAGTAAGCCATATGCACCATGAAGCCAACAACCTAGAAAATGAAATCGTGAATGACGAGAATTCATGCTTTGTGCGCCATTAATGTTACTCTCCACTGGAATACCACCACAAACAGTGCAATACGCCACACAAGAGACCTAAACATTGCAGCATGAGGCAGCTGCCAACTGAACTGGAAAATAACATGACTTATAACACTACTCCCCTGTCTGCTTCCCATTAGGCCTCACCAAACTAAGACCATCCCCTTTCTCACCCGCACCACCAGCACCTGCTCCAAGCTTTTCATCGCCTTTCCGCCTCCCCGAAGTTCCATTACTCGCAGGAACCCCCTGTGCCTTGATACCATCCTGCCCAGCCTGCCCGACCTCCCCAGCCTGCCCCACCTGCCCAGCCTGCCCGGCCAACTCTTGGCGATCATCATTCACCTCCTCTTCAGAATCAGAATCCGAATCTGAATCCGAATCTGAGCCAGATTCATCAAGAGATTCTCCATCGCTGTTGTAATGAAACACTGCATACTCCTGTTCTGTCAACCTCTTTGCTTTTGATACCAGTACATCCCCTGCTGCTTTCCCTGCTCCTGCCACCGTCCCTGACGGTGCCTGCAGACCTACCTCCTCAGCAATAGAAACCACATTACTTGCGACTGGGGCTGTGGCGGCAGCGACAGATGGAGTAGCGGCAGCAACAGGGGTTGTAGCGGCAACAACAGGGGGAGAAGCTACAGAAGCAGAGGAGGTAAGTAGAGCAACAGCCGAACCTCCACTCACCACAGCCCCATTCTGCTTCGCACTGCCAATACCACTGGTGCTGCTGTCACCGCCTCTGGTGCTGCTGCCGCTACCACTGCTGCTGCTGCTGCTGCCGACTGTCGATTCAGCTGCTGCTGCTGCATCTACTGCCTCGGTTGCTGTAGGGTCCTCTGCTTCTGCTTCTGCTCCTACTTCTTTTACGGCCAGTGGTGCTGCTGCTTCTGCTGCGGTTAGAGAGTCTGTGAGTGAGGTTGTCACATTGGCTGCTGTTGCTGCTGCTGCTGCTGCTGCTGCATTGGCGCCTGTTACTGCTGCCGTCATACCTCGTCCTGCTTCTTCCTCACTCACAACCCCCTCAGCGTGTGTCTTCTTTGCAATGGCCTTAACTTCTGAAGTGTCCCCTCCTCCTAAACCCTCTCCTGAGACTGCTCCTAGACCAGCAACCTTTGCACTCCTCTCAACTGTTTGAGACTCAGCTGCCTTCACTTCTTCCCCATCTCGCCCCTCACCACTCTTCTCCAACCCACTCCCTTCCTCTCCACTCCCTCCAACCGCTCCTGCCTTCCTATCCATAGCTTCCAGAATCAACCTCTCATCCTCGTCTTCATCTGATTCTTCTTCCCCCCACTCCTCATCATCCCCATCCTCTCTCTCCCCCTCTGAAGCCTCAGAACTTAGTCCCTCCACCTTTCTTTCCTCCTCCTTATCCTTCCCCACCCCATCCTCCTCCCCAGAAACCTCAGCACCCCTCACTCCCTCCCCTTCCTCCCCTACCTTCTCCTTCCCCTTTTCTTCTAATATCCCTCCCAACTCACTCCTAAACTGCCCTTCCAATTTCCTCACCTCCACCCCCTCCTCCCTCCTCCTCCTCCTCCTTCCATCCTCCTCCTCTCCCTCGCTCTCTGTGTCCCCCGAATGCCCTGCAAAGGCTTCAGGTAGTTTCCCAGGTGCCGCCTCTGTTTCAACCACCTGAACAGGTGTTCCTGCAGGGTAGGCGTCCAGGATAATATCCAGATCCGATCCTTGGATTTCTCCCTTCGCCATTAGCACCTGAAGTGTGACAACAAAGGCAGAGAAGGAAGAAAAATGAGCGGGAGCAGAAGTTATTGAAGCAGAGAGTCTCAAATCCATTCGCCAACCATTTGCAAAAATAAAACTCACACCCTTTTCGAGATATATGTGTATATGCCTACATATATGCATGTATGTAAAGATCGGGTGCATTGACCCGCCAGTAACTCACATTGACTGCCTTGACCAGGGCCGCCTTGTGATCCGCCAGCAGCTGCCACGTGGCAGCATATGCTTCGTCCAGCAGGGCATGCGCCATGTCAGCCGCCACGTCATCAGCATGGTCGCTGATCTTCCCCCCTGTGAACCCATAGTCGGCGTAGAGACTCCCCTCGAAGCCCAGCGAGGGGCCGCTGGCAGTGCTGCGACGCTTCCAGGCAGGGGGGATGCCCCGGGGGAGCACCTTCCCTGCCATGTGCCATCTGGGGAAGAGGGGGGGGAAGGATGGGGGCGGGCAGAAGGAGGGGTTGGGAAGAGGAGGAGAGGGAAGGACACAGGGTGCAGGGTAAAAGGTTCAAGATTCCGGGGTTCAGGGCGTGGGGTTAGGGGTTGATGGGCTGATCTCCCCTCTCCCCTCCCACCTCCCCAGTGAATCCATAGTCAGCGTAGAGACTCCCCTCGAAGCCCAGCGAGGGGCCGCTGGCAGTGCTGCGACGCTTCCAGGCAGGCGGGATGCCTCTAGGCAATACCTTCCCTGCCATGTGCCATCTGAGGGGGGGGGGGGGGTGGGAGGAAGGGTGGGCCTGAAGGCTGACCTCCCCCTCCCTCCAAGGGGCCGCTGGCAGTGCTGCTGCGCTTCCAGGCTGGCGGGATGCCCCGTGGGAGTACCTTCCCCGCCATGTGCCATCTGGTGTGTGGGGGAGGCACAGGGTGCAGGGGGTTGGGGGTTGGGAGTTGAAGGGCTGATCTCCCCTCCCTCCCCTCTGAGGGGCCGCTGGCAGTGCTGCGGCACTTCCATGCAGGTGGGATGCCTCTAAGCAATAACTTCCCTGCCATGTGCCATCTGAAAGGGGGGAGGGGAAGCGGGGGGGAGGGGAGAGAGGGAGGGGGTGGGGGAGGGTGGGGTGGGGGAGGGAGGGGGGGGTGGATGACAGGGTATATGGAGGGTTTAGGGTTATCGCATTTGATTGCCCTTGTCATAGCAAGGGGAAGCACGTGTCACCCGGGTTTTCACACAGAGACAATGTTCTAAGCCATCAAAGAGGCCAGTGCCGCCCAGATACTCACATGGAGACAAACTTGTACGCCATCCAGGAAGCGTCCGCCATGTGGCGCTGACTGTACGTGCTGCTGTCCCGCCCCCACACCACCTCCTCTGCCGCCCGGCCGCCCAGCATCACCTGCCACGTCACACAAGCAAAGAAGGCAACGATGGCGAATCCGCGCAAAGCAAAGGAGGTGAAACAGACTCATGCAGGTGAGTCTAATCCACTAAGGCTCTGAGGCTTCAAAAGAAGGTACATCACTTGAGTATTTAAAATCACTGAAGTACTTGCATTGCAACTGCTACAGCCATTGAATCGCTACAGTACCCGCAACAGTAACAGCAGCACCACTACAGTACCTGCAATCTGTGTAGCAGCGTTCGTCTCTTCTCAAAGAGGTACGCTTCATCGTCAATGCGGTTGAATACGGTCCACGAGGGTGTCTGGTGGTACAGAAAGCATTTCGAAGAGAATTCAACACGAATTGAAAGTGGATTAAAAAACGGTTGAAAAGGGGCTCAGAGGGCGATGAAAAGGGATTGAAAGAGAGTTTTAGAGGATTGAAAGAGGTGAGTGAGGGGGAGAGGCGAGCTAGGAGCGAGGGGTCGAGGGGGAGGCAAGCTAGGAGCGAGGGGTCTAGGTGCAGGGGAGTGAGGAGCGAGGGGATGGAGGCGAGGTCGATGCACTAAGAGCAGCAGCCTGGTTGGCCTCTTTTTACAGTCAGTTGGACAGGTTCTTGGAGACTGGTTCGGCCACGTTGATGCATGACTGCTGCTAATGTGAGAAGGCTGAGACTGTGCCTGCCGACACTGGCGCGGCTGCTCGTGGCCCTGAGGAGGAGATCCACAGGCCCCCCTCCGGGCGACTTCGGCAGAGTCGATGCCCTTTCGGGTTTCATAATGACTGGCCTGGAATTTGCCGTATGCCAAGTGTGGTGGCGAGTGGAGATCATCATTTCCCGCATCATCGCAAGTGTGGTGGGAAATGACGATCTCCACTCGCCACCACATTTGGCATTCGGCAAATTCCAGTCCAGTCATTCTGCAAATTTGCTTGAGTGGCGGCGTTTAATGTGCGTATGGGTTTTCCTTGATCCATGCAACGAGAAAGAGCATTGACCCTGCCGAGGTCGTCCGGAGGGTAGCCGGTAGATCTCCTCCTCAGGGCCACGAGCAGAAGCGCCAGTGTCGACAGGCACACTCTCAGTCTTCTCACATCAGCAGCACTCCGCTTAACCATTTGTTTCACTTGTGCTATGCAGTCATGCATCAACGTGGCTGAACCAGTCTCCTCACTCCCCTAAACCCTAAACCTTAGGACGAACCCTCACCTCACCTCGGGGAACGATTGAAAGGTGTTGTGGCGGCTCCACCTAAGCGTCGTCACACTCAATCAGCAGCAGCGCCGTAAGTCCGCGCCCTAGAACCTTAATCCGAAGCCCTTTAAACCCTAAACCCTACCACTCTCACCTCGCCTCGGGGCACGATTGAGAGGCGTTGCGGCGGCTCCACCTGAGCATCGTCATACTCAATCAGCAGCAGCGCCGTCAACGCCAGCCCCGCTTCGTGCACCGCCATTCTCCGCACCAGCAGCGGGTGCTTCCCCTGCTCCGCCCCCCATCGCTCCCGGGGAGTGCCGAGGGTGAGGCGGTCCGCTGCCGTGTTGAGATCCTCGTCCTCTATCTCCCCCGCCCCCCTCCTCACCGCCACCAGCGCCGCCTCCTGCAGCAGATTCGCCAGCTGGGCCCCGCTCCACCCTGGAGATTGGGGGTTTAAGGAGGGGTTGTGAGGGGTTTGAGGGGGTTTAGAGTGCTGTTTTCCCCAGCAGCAGCAGCACCAGCAGCGGGTGCTTGCCCTTGCTCTGCCCCCCAGCGCTCCCGGGGCGTGCCGAGGGTGAGGCGGTCCGCTGCCGTGTTGAGATCCTCGTCCTCTATCTCCCCCGCCCCCCTCCTCACCGCCACCAGCGCCGCCTCCTGCAGCAGATTCGCCAGCTGCGCGCCACTCCACCCTGGAAAGGGGTTGAGGGTTTTAGGACGGATTGAGAGGGGTTTAGGGGGTTTCGAGTGCTAGTTTCCCCAGCAGTAGCACCAGCAGCAGCAGCATCGGGTGCTTTCCCTGCTCTGCCCCCCAGCGCTCCCGGGGCGTGCCGAGGGTGAGGCGGTCCGCTGCCGTGTTGAGATCCTCGTCCTCTATCTCCCCCGCCCCCCTCCTCACCGCCACCAGCGCCGCCTCCTGCAGCAGATTCGCCAGCTGCGCGCCACTCCACCCTGGAGAAGGGTTCAGGATTTAAACAGGGGTTAAGAAAGGTTCGAGGGGGTTCAGAGAGGGGGTTCAGCCTGCTCCTTACCGCCACCAGCGCTGCCTCCTGCAGCAGATTCGCCAGCTGCGCCCCGCTCCAGCCTGGAGAAGAGGGGGTTACAGCGGGGTTTGGAGGGGTTTGAGGGGGTTCAGAGAGGGATTCGCCAGCTGCACCCCATTCCAGCCTGGAGAGACATGAAGACTCAGAATCCATGAGTTAAGACATCTGGTTTGAGCAACTTGAGACCTGGGAGGGTCGGAGGGTTTACCTGCGAGGTTGCTTGCAATGGTGTCGAGGTCCACGTGGGGGCTCATCTTGACCTTCTTGAAGTTCAGAGATCAAGACGGGACTTGTTATGCTCAAGGATTGTTCAAAGCTTTACCTGCAAGGTTACCTGCAAGGTTACCTGCAATGGTTTCGAGGTCCACGTGGGGGCTCATCTTGACCTTCTTGGCGTTTAAGGTTTACAAGCTCAAGAGCTGGAAGGTGGGCTTTACAAGTTACAAGTTCGACATGGCATTACCTGCAAGGTTGCCTGCAATGGTGTCGAGGTCCACGTGCGGGCTCATCTTGACCTTCTTGGGGTTGAGAGATCAAGGCGGTGCTTCATGGCTCTGGATGTAGGACACTTGACTCCGGGCTTACCTGCGAGGTTGCTTGCGATGGTGTCGAGGTCCACATGGGGACTCATCTTGACCTTCTTGGCATGCACCCGCAGCACCTCCGCCCTGCCCTTGGACCCCGGAGGCACGATGGTGATCTGAGGGGCAACACAAGGGGGGGAAGAGAGACAGGAGGCGAGAAACAGGTGGGAAGAGACATGTGAGAAGCAGTTGCAGAGATGCCTCAGAACAATCATCTTGACCTTCTTTGCATGCACACTCAGCACCTCCGCCCTGCCCTTGGACCCCGGAGGCACGATGGTGATCTGGGGCAGCAAGCAGGGCAGCACAGGAGAGCGTGAAGGAGAGACAGGTGATCTGATGGGCAGTGGAAGAGTAGGAGCAGGGCAGCAAGCAGGGTAACACAGGAGAGCGTGAAGGAGAGACAGGTGATCTGATGGGCAGTGGAAGAGTAGGAGCAGGGCAGCAAGCAGGGCAACACAGGAGAGCGTGAAGGAGAGACAGGTGATCTGATGGGCAGTGGAAGAGTAGGAGCAGGGCAGCAAGCAGGGCAACACAGGAGAGCGTGAAGGAGAGACAGGTGATCTGATGGGCAGTGGAAGAGTAGGAGCAGGGCAGCAAGCAGGGCAACACAGGAGAGCGTGAAGGAGAGACAGGTGATCTGATGGGCAGTGGAAGAGTAGGAGCAGGGCAGCAAGCAGGGCAACACAGGAGAGCGTGAAGGAGAGACAGGTGATTTGATGGGCAGTGGAAGAGTAGGAGCAGGGCAGCAAGCAGGGCAACACAGGAGAGCGTGAAGGAGAGACAGGTGATCTGATGGGCAGTGGAAGAGTAGAAGCAGGGCAGCAAGCAGGGCAACACAGGAGAGCGTGAAGGAGAGACAGGTGATCTGATGGGCAGTGGAAGAGTAGGAGCAGGGCAGCAAGCAGGGCAACACAGGAGAGCGTGAAGGAGAGACAGGTGATTTGATGGGCAGTGGAAGAGTAGGAGCAGGGCAGCAAGCAGGGTAACACAGGAGAGCGTGAAGGAGAGACAGGTGATCTGATGGGCAGTGGAAGAGTAGGAGCAGGGCAGCAAGCAGGGCAACACAGGAGAGCGTGAAGGAGAGACAGGTGATCTGATGGGCAGTGGAAGAGTAGGAGCAGGGCAGCAAGCAGGGCAACACAGGAGAGCGTGAAGGAGAGACAGGTGATCTGATGGGCAGTGGAAGAGTAGGAGCAGGGCAGCAAGCAGGGCAACACAGGAGAGCGTGAAGGAGAGACAGGTGATCTGATGGGCAGTGGAAGAGTAGGAGCAGGGCAGCAAGCAGGGCAACACAGGAGAGCGTGAAGGAGAGACAGGTGATCTGATGGGCAGTGGAAGAGTAGGAGCAGGGCAGCAAGCAGGGCAACACAGGAGAGCGTGAACGAGAGACAGGTGATCTGATGGGCAGTGGAAGAGTAGGAGCAGGGCAGCAAGCAGGGCAACACAGGAGAGCGTGAAGGAGAGACAGGTGATCTGATGGGCAGTGGAAGAGTAGGAGCAGGGCAGCAAGCAGGGCAACACAGGAGAGCGTGAAGGAGAGACAGGTGATCTGATGGGCAGTGGAAGAGTAGGAGCAGGGCAGCAAGCAGGGCAACACAGGAGAGCGTGAAGGAGAGACAGGTGATCTGATGGGCAGTGGAAGAGTAGGAGCAGGGCAGCAAGCAGGGTAACACAGGAGAGCGTGAAGGAGAGACAGGTGATCTGATGGGCAGTGGAAGAGTAGGAGCAGGGCAGCAAGCAGGGTAACACAGGAGAGCGTGAAGGAGAGACAGGTGATTTGACGGAGCAGCTGAGGGGGAATGCGAGGGAGGGACAGGTGTGAATGCAGCATTGAGCATGCCCATGCGGTTGGTGGCTCCGATGAACACCACCCCCTGTCCCTCTGGCATCCTAAGCTTCTCCTCTTTCTCGCTCTGCTTACACCTGGATGCAAACCTTTCTGTCGAACCGCCCCGGTCGCAACAGAGCAGCATCGAGCATGTCCATGCGGTTGGTGGCGCTGATGAACACCACCCCCTGGCCTCTCCTTCTCTGCACCCCAATACTACTGCCACTACCAGTGCTACTAGCCATACAAGCCCCTTGAAGGTGTATAGCGTGACTGGCTCGTACCTTTCTGTCAAACCGCCCTGGCCTGAGCAGGGCGGCATAGAGCATGTCCATGCGGTTGGTGGCGCCGATAAACACCACCCCCTGGCCCCCCTGGTCCCCCAAGCCCCCCTGACCCCTGGCCCTTCCCTACCTCCTCCTCCTCTCCGTGGCCCTTCCCTCACCTTCCGGTCGAATCGTCCCGGCCTCAGGAGCGCAGCATCGAGCATGTCCATGCGGTTGGTGGCGCCGATGAACACCACCCCCTGGCCGGTCGCTCCCCCTAAGCCTGCCCTTGTGCCCCCAACCACCCACTCCAGGCGCGTACCTTTCGGTCAAATCGACCTGGCCTGAGCAGCGCAGCATCGAGCATGTCCATGCGGTTGGTGGCGCAGATGAACACCACCCCCTGGCCTCTGGCATCCTACGTGTGCTCCCTTGTTCACTACTTGCTCGCAACTGAACTCGTACCTTTCGGTCAAATCGACCTGGCCTGAGCAGCGCAGCATCGAGCATGTCCATGCGGTTGGTGGCGCCAATGAACACCACCCCCTGGCCTCCCTAGACCCCCTAGCCCCCCTCCCCTGGCCCCTCCATCCCTCCACGCCCTGCCCCCCTGGTCGCTGCACCTACTTGACCACATCCTGGCTCATACCTTTCTGTCAAATCGCCCTGGCCTGAGCAGGGCAGCATCCAGCATGTCCATGCGGTTGGTGGCGCCGATAAACACCACCCCCTGGCCGGTGTCAAAACCGTCCAGCTCGATAAGCAGCTGGTTGAGAGTCGTCTCTCTCTCCGTGACCCCCGCATCTGCGCCTTCATCCCCTCCTGCAGAGGAGCGGCTGGGAGGAGGGAATGTGACAGGGACACAAGGGGTAGGGGGAAAGGGAAGACGGGGAGAAGAGGAAAGGGAGAGGGGGACAGGAGTGTAAGCATTGAAACACCACCCCCTGGCCGGTGTCAAAGCCGTCCAGCTCGATGAGCAGCTGGTTGAGCGTCGTCTCTCTCTCCGTCACTCCCGCATCCGCCCCTTCATCCCCTCCAGCAGAGGACCGTCTGGGAAAAGGAGGAGAAAAGTGGGAGAGAGGCAGAGTGTGGGGGAGGAGAGGGGGAAAGGGATGTTAGCATTAGCAGCAGAACACCACCCCCTGGCCGGTGTCAAAGCCATCAAGCTCGATGAGCAGTTGGTTGAGGGTCGTCTCTCTCTCCGTCACTCCCGCATCCGCGCCTTCATCACCCCCTGCTGACGACCGCCTGGAGGAAGAGAGAACAAACAGGGCGCGAGGGGTAGAGGGGACAGGAGGGTCAGCAGCAGAACACCACCCCCTGGCCGGTGTCAAAGCCGTCCAGCTCGATGAGCAGCTGGTTGAGCGTCGTCTCTCTCTCCGTCACTCCCGCATCCGCGCCCTCGTCGCCCCCTGCTGACGACCAGCTGGGAGGAGGGAACAAGACAGGGGCGCAAGGAGTAGAGGGGACAGGAGTGTAAGCACCGATGAACACCACCCCCTGGCCAGTGTCAAAGCCGTCAAGCTCGATGAGCAGCTGGTTGAGGGTCGTTTCACGCTCCGTCACTCCCGCATCCGCGCCCTCGTCGCCCCCTGCTGACGACCGCCTGCAGGAAGAGAGAACAAGACAGGGACACGAGGAGCAGCGGGGACAGGAGGGTAAGCACTGAAACACCACCCCCTGGCCGGTGTCAAAGCCGTCAAGCTCGATGAGCAGCTGGTTGAGAGTCGTCTCACGCTCCGTCACTCCTGCATCCGCGCCCTCGTCACCTCCTGCTGACGACCGGCTGGCAAAGGGAGCACAGGACAGGGGTGCGAGGGATAGACAGTAAGGGAACGTCATTAACGAAACAGACCACCCCCTGGCCGGTGTCGAAGCCGTCAAGCTCGATGAGCAGCTGGTTGAGGGTCGTTTCACGCTCAGTGACCCCCGCATCCGCGCCCTCGTCCCCCCCTGCTGAGGAGCGCCTGGAGTGGAGCAGCAGAGGGAGAGAGCAAAAGGGCGAGGGGAAAGGAGATGAGCAGCTGATTGAGAGTTGTTTCACGCTCAGTGACCCCCGCATCCGCGCCCTCGTCCCCTCCAGCAGAGGAGCGGCTGGGAGAGGGAGCAAACCGAGAGCAGGGGAGGAGGGGAAACGAGAGAGGGGAAAGGAGATGAGCAGCTGGTTGAGAGTCGTCTCTCTCTCCGTCACTCCCGCATCCGCGCCTTCATCCCCTCCAGCAGAGGACCGGCTGGCAAAGGGATGAGAGGAGGAGAGGACAGGTGCACAGCACAGGAATAGGAAGTGGTGAAAACGGAAAAAGGAAAAAAAGACAGATTCTTTACCCGACTTGCAAAAGGAAAGAAGGGGGAGTTGGGGGGGAAGGGGGAGTCGGGGGGGAAGGGGGAGTCGGGGGGGAAGGGGGAGTCGGGGGGGAAGGGGGAGTCGGGGGGGAAGGGGGAGTCGGGGGGGAAGGGGGAGTCGGGGGGGAAGGGGGAGTCGGGGGGGAAGGGGGAGGAGAGGAGCGACTTACGCGGCACCGAGGGCGTCGATTTCATCAATGAAGACCACCGCGGGCTTGTTGACCTTGGCTCGCTTGAAGAGATCGCGCACACGAGCTGCCCCCACTCCCACCAGCACCTCAGCAAACTCAGAGCCCGCCATCTGGTAGAATGGCACCCCCGCCTCGCCTGCTATGGCCTTAGCCAAAAGCGTCTGGTGGATGGAGGGAGGAGCATGATGCAAAGAGAATCGTACGAAGGAGAAAGGAGTGCATAAGGAAGTGAGAGCAACCCCCACTCAACTCCCACTAACACTTCAGCAAACTCGGAGCCCGCCATCTGATAGAACAGCACTCCCGCCTCGCCTGCTATGGCCTTGGCCAGGAGCGTCTGGTGGAGGGACGGGGAGAGGACCGTATGGGGGAGAGAGGATCGTATGAGAGGGAGAGAGGATTGCATGGAGTGAGAGCCGCCCAACCCCACCAGCACTTCAGCAAACTCAGAGCCCGCCATCTGGTAGAATGGCACTCCCGCCTCGCCTGCTATGGCGCGTCTGGTGGAGGGAGGGAGGGAGGGAGAGAGGAGCGTATGAGGGAGAGAGGAGCATAAGGGAGTGAGAGCAGCCCCCACTCCCACCAGCACCTCGGCAAACTCGGAGCCCGCCATCTGATAGAAGGGGACTCCTGCCTCGCCTGCTATGGCCTTGGCTAGCAGCGTCTGTTTAAGGAAGGGCAGGAGGAGAGGCGGGGAGTGGGAGGGAGTGGGTGGGAGAACATGTTGAAGGACGGGGACGAGAGGGAGGGAGGAGGCAAACTCGGAGCCCGCCATCTGGTAGAAGGGCACTCCTGCCTCGCCTGCTATCGCTTTGGCTAGTAGCTCTGGTGGAGGGAGAGAGGGAGGGAAGAACAGGTGATGCTGAAAGGAATAAATGGAGGGGAAATAAAGTGAGGAGCTGGGATGGGAGTGGCGGAAAGATTGGAGAATCAAATCTGGAAATGAAACGGCGATGACAGGCCAGGGGCAGAGACTCAGGGCGACAAGCAGAGGGGCAAGCAGCAGTGCAAGCTGGGGCTCACCTTGACACAGCCACACTGCAACCACCACCTCGCCTCACCCTCTGAGGGGAAACGGTCAGAGGGGCAAAACGACGGATCTCACCTTTCCACAGTCAGACAACCTCACCTTGCCACAGCCAGGAGGGCCTTCCAGTAACACTCCATGCGGGGGCTTTGTTCCCATGAGGTACCTGGGTGCTACACATGTGCGCGCTCACAGCACCCACCACCTTGCCTTGCCATCCCAGGAAGCAGTCAGGGGCAAAACAAACAGACAGCCAGAGGGGTCTCACCTTGCCACACCCCGGCGGCCTTTCCAGCAGCACTCCGTGCGGGGGCTTGGTTCCCATGAGGTACCCGGGTGCTAATCATGTGCTCCGTCATGCAGGAGCACTCACCACACCCACCACCCCGCCCCGTCCTCCGAACAGCCAGAAGGGCAAAACGACCAGTCTCACCTTGCCACAGCCGGGAGGCCCTTCCAGCAGCACGCCGTGGGGCGGCTTGGTTCCCATGAGGTTGAATCGCTGCGGGTCTTTGAGATATTCCACGAGCTGAGAGGAGATGCACAGAGGGGGTAAGGGGATGAGGGAGGGAGGGGGCGGGGAGCGGGGAAAGAGGCAGGTGGCTTGGTTCCCATGAGGTTGAATCGCTGGGGGTCTTTGAGATACTCCACGAGCTGAGGGGAGATGCACACAGGGGGAGAGGAAGAAAGGCAGAGGAAACAATGGGGGCAGGAAAAGCGGAGCAAGGGCTTGGTGTCCATGAGGTTGAATCGCTGGGGGTCTTTGAGATACTCCACGAGCTGAGGGGAGATGCACACAGGGGGAGAGGAAGAAAGGCAGAGGAAACAATGGGGGCAGGAAAAGCGGAGCAAGGGCTTGGTGTCCATGAGGTTGAATCGCTGGGGGTCTTTGAGATACTCCACGAGCTGAGGGGAGATGCACACAGGGGGAGAGGGGAGAGGGGGGGGGGGGTGGGGAGGGGAGGGGGGGGGAGGGAGGGGGGAAGGGAAGGAGGCAGGGGGGCTTTGAGGTACTCCGTGAGCTGGGGGGAGACGCATAGAGGGGGAGACAAGAGGGGGGGGAGAGGGGAGCGGGGGGACGGAGCGGGGAAGGGAAAGAGGCAGGGGCTTGGTTCCCATGAGGTTGAAGCGCTGGGGATCCTTCAGATATTCCACAAGCTGCGGGGAGATGCACAGATAGGCCGGTTGAGGCCAAGAGGGACCCACGGTTCAATGCCGGCTCATCTCGGCTCGGCTGGGGATGAGTTGGAAGCACTTGATAAGCACATATATCATATATCATATATGTATATATATATATGCGTGTAAGTACGTATGTATGTAATTATATCCATATATATACGGTGTAGACATATTTGAGATGCCACTCACCTCCTGTAACTCCTGCACGGTCTCGTCAATGCCTGCCACATCCTCAAACTTCACTCCTGTGGAGCCCTGATGAGAGGGAAGAGGAGAGGAAGGAGGAGAAGAGAGGAAAGGAAGGAAAGCTTTCAAGTGGACTCAAAGGTCACAATGTCACATCCTGCATGCACGGTTTCATCAATGCCTGCCACGTCCTCAAACTTCACTCCCGTGGAGCCCTGATGAGAGGAGGGGAGAGAACGGAGGAAGGACAGTGAGAGGAGAGGAGAGGAGAGGATATGGCACTCGTCGATGCCTGCCACGTCCTCAAACTTCACTCCCGTGGAGCCCTGATGTTGAGAGGAAAGGAGATGAATGAGGAGAGAGAGTCCTAGTGCAACTGAAATAGGTCCTGTAACTCCTGCACGGTCTCGTCAATGGCATGGTACGGCATGGCATGGCTTGGCACGGCATGGCATGGCATGGCATAGCATGACATGGCAACGAATAGCATGGCACGGCACGGCACAACACGGCATGGCATGGCAACTGCCCAGACCAGCCCAACCCAGACCAGCCAACCCAGCCCAACCCAGCCCAACCCAATCCAGCCAACCCAGCCCAACCCAGCCCAACCCAGCCAACCAAGTTCAGTGCCACGCGGCGGAGCACAACACGACACCACACAGCACCGCACCGCACCACACCGCACTGCACCGCACTGCACAGAAGCAACGACTCACCTCCACTCGAGCTTGCGGCTTGGACTGGCCGAATTCAATGGCTTGCCAAATATCCTGCCAAAAAAAAGTTTTGGCACACAAGGTACAAGGCTCATGGTCCAGATTCAGGGTTCAGGGTGTAGGGTTTTGGATCACAAAACAAGGTTTGGGTTTGCAGTTCTGCTTGTTCTAATTTAAAGCATTGGATACTTGACTTGACACCATGTAAGGCACCATACCATGCCAGCCAGCCTCCCACAGCACACACAAACACCATCATACCTATTGCTCTATATCCCTTGTCCCCTCCCCCAAACACCCCAACCAACCCCCACAATACCTACCCACTTGGTGTAGTCCCTTGTGCGTCTGTTGAGAGTGAATTTCGCCCCAGCTGCCATGAACAGCACCACAAACACCATCATCCCCACCACCCCTTCCTCCCATCACCTCCCTGCTATCACAGCTTTCCCTCCCTCTCCTTCTCGCTTCCATCACTTACCCACTTGGTGTAGTCCCTTGTGCGTCTGTTGAGAGTGAATTTCGCCCCAGCTGCCATGAACAGCACCACAAACACCATCATCCCCACCGCCCTATCACCCTTTCTAACCCCCAGATATGTACCCACTTAGTGTAGTCCCTAGTACGCCGGTTCAGGGTAAACTTCGCCCCAGCTGCCATGAACAGCACCACAAACACCATCATCCCCACCGCTATATCCCCCTGCTATTACACCTTTCCCTCCCTCCCCTCCCCCCCCCCCCCCCTCCTTCCCCCCACCACTTTTGCATCACTTACCCACTTGGTGTAATCCCTAGTGCGTCTGTTGAGAGTGAACTTCGCCCCAGCGGCCATAAACAGCACCACAAACACCATCATCCCCACCGCTTTCGCCGAACTCTTCAGCTTCCCGATAAAAATATCCCGCGCCAGGTCAACCGCCACGTCAGTAATGGCATCTCCTGACGCAGTGGCAGCAGAGCCAGTCACCCCACTCGCTATCCCCCCGCTCCCAAACATCGCCGCCAGCTGTAACTGCAAGAATCCAAACAAGCTGTTGCCGCCCGGAGCGAACAGACTGGCCCACGTGGCAGCAAGCACTGCAGCTATCTGCTTCGCTACAGCCGCTACAACCCAGACTACAGGCGTCAGAAGGGGCTTCGCCAGGGGCCACAAAACGGATCGGACTATAAAGAGTACGGCGGAGGAGGCTAGGAGAAGGGCGGCGGTGGACGAAGCGATGAGGGCGGAGAGGAAGGATTGGAGGATGGCTGCTAGGATGGAACATTCCAGGAAGATTCGCCCAGAGATTGTGGACGCCGCTGGGAGGGGCTTAGCTGATGGCACCTCGACAAACGTCTGGTGGGAGCAGGTAAGGAAGAGAGACGGTGGAGAAAAAGGGGGAAAAGGGAGGAGTTAAAGTAAGGAAGACTATTAAGACGTCAAAAGCGGCTTAGCTGATGGCACCTCGACAAATGTCTGATGGGGGAAAAGGGGAAGAGAAGGAGGAGAAAGAGGCATTAAGTAAGAAAGACATCTGAGACATCTCAAAAGCGGCTTAGCTGATGGCACCTCGACAAAGGTCTGATGGGGGAGAAGGGGAAGAAATGCGGCGGGGGGGGGGGGGGGGGGGGAGAGGGGGAGGAGGAGTTTCAAGTAAGAAATATTTTTTAAGACGTAAAAGGCGGCTTAGGGAATGGCACCTCGACAAATGTCTGGTGGGAGAGAAGGGGAAGGCAAGGAAGAGATACGGAGGGAAAACGGGGGAGAATGGTAATGAAGAGAGAAAGGGAAGAGGGTAAGGAAAAGAGAAAGCGAAGGTGGAGATGCCTAGCTAGCATGCTGCTGCAGCTGCAGTCAACCATGCGGGTTGACATGCCTGGCATGCCGTACCTTGTAATCATGCTCACACTTCACGAGTGCTCAGATAACTATTTGAGACTCTCAAAAAGCATGCTGTACCTTGTAACCTGCTCACACATCACATCACGACTGCTCTGATCACATAGCCAGTTCACATGAGATTCGTTTTAAGGCTCGCATTAGCATGGTGTACATACGAGCTCTTACTGTGTATACTCTCTCCAACTCGCTTTTAAGAGATCTAAAAAACGACTCAGATTTGGTGTACAAACAAGTTATTACTGCGTACACGGTCTCCAACTCCTTCTCCAGACCCTTATAGGCCGCCAGCACTGATGGCAGCACCTGCATAACCGTTCGCACAGCCTGATGTACGACTAACCCTAAGTTTCACTATAACGAGCACATGGGAGAGCTCTTACCGAGTACACAGTCTCCACCTCCTTCTGTGGACCCTTATAGGCAGCCAGAACTGCCGGCACGGATTGTGAGTCCACCTTGAGCCTCCTGAAAGGGTCAAGGAGAACGACAAGGGGCAGGCAACGAGGGAGAGAAGGGCAGGGAGGCGGCATGCGGTGGGTGCGATGAAAATGGAACGGACTCAAGAGTCAGCTACACTGGTCAGCAGCACTGAGTGCGAGTCCAACTTGAACCTCCTGCAAGGGGTCAAGGAGGAGAGGACGAGAGGGGGCAAGGAGACTGAATGAGGGACGAGAGTGGTAGTTTTGAGATTCATGGATCTGCCAGCGATCTCTAGTTCTCCTCGCATCAAAGTACCAGTTGATTTCTTTTCTAATTCTCACAAACCAAATTACCAGCACGTCCTGGCACACTCGAATCAATTCTACTCGCTCATGTGCATACCCTTCCCAGTCAACTGCACGCCCAGCCCACCCACGCTCCCCCGGGACCTCCTTCAGCTGCACCAGAACTTCCCAATACCCAACCCATCCGTACTTACCACGTGTTGGTCTGCAAGGCCGGCTCCCCCGGGACCTCCTTCAGCTGCACCAGCACGTCCCAGCACTCGAACCTGCCATCGCGCCCCTTCACTACTTGCTTGAATGCATGCCCTTCCCAGTCATGTGCAGGCACCGCCCACCCACACCCTTACTCACCAGGTGTTAGTTTGAAGGGCCGACTCCCCCGGGACCGCCTTCAGCTGCACCAGCACGTCCCAGTACTCAAACCTCGTCACTACTCGCAATACTGCATGTCCTTTCCAGTCATGTACAGGCTCAGGCCACCCGCACTCACCAGGTGTTAGTTTGAAGGGCCGAATCCCCGGGACCTCCTTCAGCTGCACCAGCACGTCCCAGTACTCGAACCTCCCATCGCGCCTCTTCAGCCCTCTAAACCAAACATCACCAGCGCCACCCGTCTCTTCTCCCCATTCCCCCCCCCTGAATGTGAACCCCACACTCACCAGGTGTTGGTTTGGAGGGTCGAATCCCCCGGGACCTCCTTCAGCTGCACCAGCACGTCCCGTCCCAGTACTCGACCCTCTTCACTACTCGCTTGAGTGCATGCCCTTTCCAGTCAACTGCATGCCCGGCCACCCACGCACTCACCAGGAGTTGGTTTGAAGGGCTGACTCCCCCGGGACCTCCTTCAGCTGCACCAGCACGTCCCAATACTCAAACCTCCCATCGCGCCTCTCCAGTCCCTTGCTGAGTTAAGCCCCAGAACCCCAGTGCGCACCCCACATTAACCAGAACCTCTCAATGCTCACTCCCCAGGAGGTCCCAGTGCCTTCCCAGGTGGCACGCCCACACTCACCACGTGTTGGTTTGAAGGGCCGACTCCCCCGGCACCTCCTTCAGCTGCACCAGCACGTGCCAGTACTCGAACCTCTACTATCCCAGTACTTCCCAGTACTTCGCTAGCCAACTGCACGCCCAGCCCACCCACGCACTCACCAGGTATTGGTCTGCAAGGCCGACTCCCCCGGGACCTCCTTCAGCTGCACCAGCACGTCCCAGTACTCGAACCTCCCATCGCGCCTCTTCAACCCGCGCGACGTCACCAGCTTCACCTGCCTCTTCTCCGCAAAACCCAGAAACTCCGCCGCGCTCATGGGCGGAGCGTCCGCCAGCGCGCGCTCAAACGCGGTGGTTTCCACCACGCGCGGGGCGAACGCCTCTTCCGGAACCACCAGCTCCCCCTTAAACTCGCGCAGGAGATCTTTCAGGTATACGGGATTCGCTGGCTGAGTAGCATCAGCGGACGAGACAGCACCTGAGCCTGAGGAAAGTCCCTGTTGAGACTGTTTCCCTTCCTTTCCTTCCCTTCCCTCTGCTGCCAACCCCTCGTCTTCACTCCCTTCCTCTATAATCACCTCCTTATCCACCCCTCCTAGAACCTCCGCCAGCTTTCCCAAGGCCGCCTCACGAGCGCTTTCAACTCCTTGCTCTAGAGCGTTTAAGGCTCGGATCGGCGCAGGTACGGCCCGAGCCTCCGCCTCCTGGAGAGACATCAGCTGCCCGTTTACCCGAACCTGCGGCTCCACCCGGTTCGGCACTCGCTCTAGTAACTCAGTGATTGGATCCCAATCTTTATCCACGTCAGCAGGTGCTGACGTGCCCTGTGACCGTTTCTTCGCCGCTTTCGCCTTCTTCGCTCCCCCTGCTGCTTTCCCTGGAGCGCCTGATGCTGAGCTGGCAGCTTTCGATTTGCTGCTACCGGCCGTCCCTCCTGCCTTCCACTGTGACGTGGACCCAGACGAGTCCCCCCCTCCCCCAGATGTACCTGCCCCAGAAACCGCCGAAACTACACCCAAGGAACCAGCTCTTCTAAACCCTCTACCCCTTCCAACACCCGCTCCTGCTCCTGCTGCACCTGTGCCCTGAAATCCTCCTGCCAATCCTGTGCCCGGATGTAACCCCATCCCTCTCCCTAGCTCTATCCTTCCTGGGACCCTTAGGCCCTGCCATCCCCATGGGTGGAGGGAGGGGGTGCGAAGGACACTGGCAGGCGCAGCAGTGGGAGACGCGGCAGCGGAAAGGGTAGAAAGAGAGGGAGAGGACGTCCCCCCGCGACCAATAGACTGGAATGGGGCAAGGGTAAGGTAGGTGGGAGAAAAGTGGGAGAGTAAAGGACGAGGAGTAAATAAAATACCAGTTAGGAATGATTCGACGAGAGTGCAGTGACATGAACATACGAACATGGTGACTTGCTCATCCCGACTCGCCCATCCCCATTCCTCATTGACACGAACATAGTGACTGGCATAAAGAGGAAAGCAGTCGACATCTAACGGATACGACTGGAATATATTTCAAAATAACACTCTTAAAACACAATCCCTCTTAGAACAAAGCTTCTGATGCTGAAACTTGAGTCGGTTTATATGATGTCAAGACACACCTGGTGCATGGCGAGTGGCTGCCGGCTTGTAGGCTGCTGAGTTTGAACGTGTACACGAGCACAGGGAACGCGTCCAGGGACGACGCATCCTGTACCGGGTACACGAAAGAACAGAAGAACAACAAAATTTTGGTGAGTCAGTACCGCATCGTGCGCACACGATCGCAACACGGCGCACTCGCACTTAAGGACTCAGTCATGCTTGACTGATAAGAAAATTGTCTGACGGTCCTGATAAAACGACGAATCCTAAACGGCCTGATCGTGCTTGAAATATGATAGTCGAAGCCACGAATTCCGTACATATAATATTTAAGGAATTGGACCTTACAGATTCACACACAAAACTGGGTGAGGCGATCGGCTAAGGGGGTGGGCATACCGCACGGAGGCCGGGGAAGGGATGATAGCGAACCCTGCATGGTGATTTCTGCGGTATCAGGTAACGCGAAGTTTCCGCAACGAGGGTTCGAAACACCAGGAAACCCTAGCTGGTCATTCAGCACCAATGTCAACTATGAAGACTGGTTCCGAAACGAACTGCGCAAAATCGACGTTTAGGTAAGTGTCTCTAAAAGGTGACCGCGAGCTCTTAGAGCGGAAACTATCACTGGGGACTAAAAGGCTCGGACAACCAGATTGGGATCAGGGAACCATAGCATCGACGGATTGGTGGATCAGTTGGTGCATCCAACGGTCGAGATCAGACAAGCGTTCGCAAACGCGGATACTGCGCGGAGCAGATTGGCCACACGAGCTTTCAAAAGTACTAACGAGCACGATGCGAGCTCCTAACATATGTCTGATCAGGTCGATTGGTGCACGCATACGGCAGTCTGAGCCCCCTCTGCTGACGAAAATCAGACAAACCAGTCAAGGACACTCGTCCCTCCCCTGAAACGAAATCGCATGCACGCTCGACAACGAGGTAACGGGAATGGTGTCAGGAAGAGGATAAGGACGCCGTAGCAGGACTAGCAAGCTGGGCGAAAGGAATGCTAAGATAACAGAGCTATTGTTTTGAAGTTTGCCAGGGAATCTCGGCTGGTGTGACTGTAGCGATACCTGCTTTCTACAAGAACAGTCAACACGGCACAATTTCTGAAGTGATCTGCAAGAATCACCCATTCGCCACCCCCATTCCACCCCCAAACTCACTCCACACGTCGAAGTTGTCATGGTGAATCCTGATCGTCCATTGGAGTTATCGTCGCGATTTGAGCAGTCAGCCGCACTCAATCCCAACCGACCACTGTCCTCACCCCCTCTTCTGGCCGCCACGTCATGCCGCTTTGCTGGCGAACCCAGTGATCAGGCGGAAGCCTCTATTGGCTGATTTCCTTTCTGGCTGGGGCCGAATTTTGGCTTGTCACTGCTGTTGAAAGACTCGATCTGATATATAGTGGACATGTACACCTATAGAAAAAACAAAACGGATGTTTAAAACAAAAACTATTGACTGCATCCGACCCCGTAGTCTACTATGTGGGCGGATACAATAGATGCCTCCGATGGGTTATCGGTTTCAACCCCCCTTTGTATTCTGCATCTCTTTATGTGCAAGCTTAGTTCGCGCAAGGGCACACAAATGGCCTAAATCTATATGACAATATTTCATCGATATAGGGAAATCATGGATGCGCTAAACGAGCATTCATGCCGCTCAATATACCGTAATGTTTCCTCGTTTCACATGTACCGATATAGTAAGCAGAAGCTGGACCATTTCATGACAGACAAGCTGGCTGGACCCATCATTAGCGCTTGGCTTGCCAATATCATGCCCATATACACTTCCCTCTACTCATCCTTCTACATTTCAAAACTAAAGCTCAAAACATCACCTTACTCCCCCTTCCGTCCCCTGACCTCCCATTACATCCCCGTTCCTTTACCTTCCCCATGTCCCCTTACTTCCCCTTCCCCTTGCTTCGTCTGGCCACAATATCAGCAGCCACTAACCTTCCCACGTCCGTTTGCCATCGATCTGCACACACAATAGGGTCATTTACGAAACATTGATAATGTTGGACAGTACTTACACTGTAGAAAACCTTAAAACCATCAAATCCCCTTCTCCTCTCTTTCCCCCCTTGTCCCACCCTCCCTCCGCTTTCTTCTCACCCCCCCACACACCCCCCCAAACTCAATCCCCCCATTTTTTCTTTCTCTCCCATCCCAACAGAACCCCCTTCAATTCGCAGACTGTGTTTGTATGCCAAGATTTGAGGCGCCTCAAAAGTCAGACTAGCTTGTACGCAAACTAATCAGTAACCTTTTTCGCTGACTAAGCTTCTAGGTGACTCAATCAGTACCTTTAGTTGAGTCGAAGAATTCTTGAAGCTCCATGCCTTGGGCTATGCAGCAGCAGCACAGGAAGCACATGACAACCCGTTCCCCTTCCCCCCCCCCCCCCCCCCCCCCCAACTCCAATTTGCACTCTGAGCGTCTATGGGAACTAATCAGTACCTTGAGTCGAGCTAAAGCTCCACTCCTTGGGCTATGCAGCAGCACAGGAAGCACATGACAACACGTTCCCCCCCCCCCTCTCTCCACTCCAGTTTGCACACCGAGCGTCTATGCGAACTAATCAGTGTACCTTTAGTTGAGTCGAAGAATTCTTGAAGCTCCATGCCTTGGGCTGTGCAACAGCACAGGAAGCACAGGAAGCAATGGTGAAACGAGATACGAGTGTACATCATGGGCTATGCATATGCCCAGGAAGAACATGATGCATTTGCATGCATTTGGGTGCAAGGGAAAAAAATGTGATATGAGTATATTTGATACAAGGGTGCACGTAAAAGAATTTTGAAATGAGTGTACGTGCATGGCATAAAGGTAAGGGGAAAGAAAAGTGGCATGTATGGAGATGACAGAAGGGTTGTGAAGGAGAAAGAAAAGAGATGTCAGAGAACATGACAGAAGGGTTGAGTGTGAAGGGCGGGAAAAATAAAAAGAGTGCGAACCATTGGGACAGGGACACCTCAAGAGGCAACAACAGCACAGGAAAGCAACAGGAAAGCAGATGACAGAGGGGTTGTGTGTGTGGTGGGTGGGAGAAAAAGTGGGAAGTGTGACTTGAGGAAGGTGATGAAGAGAAAGAGGATTGTCAGAAGGAAGGCAGGAGGACTCTTGATTTTATACTCGTTATAAATCGTTCCTGTGTAGCTCACCTTGCTCGTACTCATGTGCTTGCAAAATCATCTCCAGCTGGTAATTGATGCAAAGTTGAAAAACGCAAACAAGAAGCAAAAAAAAAAAGGGGGAGTAATGAAGGGATGTAAATATGTGATTAAGTTAGGTCACTTTCATTACAATCACAGAAGACATGTAACACAGGACAAGGAAGAGAGTGTGTGTGCGTGCGGTGTGCGTGTGTGGGTGCATGCGTGCGTGCGTGTGCGTGCACGTCTCTCACCTTATCAAAGTCCTTTACTAGTCGAGCCTCGTTTGTCTCATTCGCTTCATACTCCTCCCACAGAGCGAGCATCTCAGCTGGTGGAAGGGGGTGTGAGAGGAGGAAGGGGAGGGGAAGGAGGAGGACATATGGGGTTCGTTTGACTCATTTGCTTCATACTCCTCCCATAGAGAGTGCATCTCAGCTGTTATTGGGGGAGGGGAGGAGAGAGAGCGGGTGGGAGGGAGAGAGGAAGGGAAGGTAAGGAGAGCAAGGCAAGAATAACAGGATGTGCCTCGTTTGACTCGTTTGCTTCAAACTCCTCCCACAGAGAAAGTATCTCAGCTGGTATCAGGGGAGACGTCTCAAAAATACCCTCAACACACGAGAGCCAGTGGAATCTGCACATATTCTTCATGTCAAACGCAAGGAGTGATGCGATGCACTGGAAAGCATTTTCCAAGAAGAGAAAGTCTTTGGGAGAATTGCTTTCCAGTGGAGTGATTATTCTGTCGACTCAAAAGCCACCTCTTTCCAGCAGTGGGAGACAATGCGTGGGTGCAGATTCGAATCACACAGCTTCGAATCGCACAGCTTCAAGTCAAACCGTCACCTGCTGCCTTGCGGTTGGGGCCCAGAGGAGCAGCACACATCTGCCCCAGACCCTCCCTCTCTCCAGGTGATACTCGTGATATAGATACACATGTGAACTTGTCATGTGAACCTGCTTCTGCTGCTACTCTCACTCACATGCACACCCACACCTGCCCCACAAATGCTCCTCCCATCCCTCACCTGCTGCCTTGTGGTTTGGTCCTAGGGCGGCACACATCTGCCCCAGCGCCTCCCTCTCCATTTGGTGCTTCTCCTCCTTGCCCACTCCACACGACGGCGTGATGTCACCCGCTATTGCTGCAAGGGAGGAGGGGGAGGCCGTGGGGGCAGATAAGGAAAGCTTGGGGTGCGAGACTATTGCTGCACGGGAGAGAGAGAAGGGCAGTTGGGGAAGTGAATAGGGCTCTTGACGCATCCCCTCCTGTCCTTACCCACTCCGCACGACGGCGTGATATCAAGGAAGAGGGGGAGGCCATGGGGGTGTGTGAAGGGAGAAAGGGGTAGGAGAGAGTGGGGTCCCAGAGCGGCACACATCTGCCCCAGCGCCTCCCTCTCCATTTGGTGCTTCTCCTCCTTGCCCACTCCACACGACGGCGTGATGTCACCCGCTATTGCTGCAAGGGAGAAAGGGAGCAAGGCGGGTGTGGCAGGGGAGAAGGTGTGGGCGAAGTGAGCAGCACACATCTGCCCCAGGGCATCCCTCTCCATTTGGTGCTTCTCCTCCTTGCCCACTCCGCACGGCGGCGTGATATCACCCGCTATTGCTGCTAGGACGAGGGGGGGAGGAGGAGGGTGAAGGGCCAATCACCAGCCAGTCCGCCTGCTGCTGCTGGAACGAAGAGGGGAAGAGAGCGGCACACATATGCCCCAAAGCGTCCCTCTCCCTTCGATGCTTCTCCTCATTGCCCACTCCGCACGGCGGCGTGATATCGCCCGCTATTGCTGCAAGGGAGAGAGGGGGAGGAGCGGCGGAGCTTTTTCAGAAATGAGGGGGCGAGAGAGGGGAGGAGAGGAGGTGTGGGGGAAGAGGTGGTGTGGGGGGAGAGGAAGTGTGGGGGAAGAGGAGGTGTGGGGGGAGAGGAAGTGTGGGAAAAGGAGGCAATTCCCTGGAAGAATCCCTATATATGGGGGTGTGTCAGAGGCAAGCCAGTCCTTATCCAGCTACATCGGATATGCTTTTAAAGGGGATAAATTTCCAACTGCTATTCAGAATCGGGGTTGAGGGCATTTGGAGGGGTTGAGGGCAGGTGGAGAGGGGTTGATAGCAGGTGGAGGGGGGTTGAGTGCAGGTGGAGAGGAGTTGGGAGGGGTTGAGAGCGTACCTTCTGCTACGTCATGCACAATTGCCATCTTGATGCATCTGTGGATATGCATGACGTGTATGTACACGTGGCACACAGACACACGTGGCACACAGACACACGTGGCACTCACACACGTGGCACTCACAAACGTGGCACTCACAAACGTGGCACTCACAAACGTGGCACTCACAAACGTGGCACTCACAAACGTGGCACTCACAAACGTGGCAATCACACACGTGGCACTCACACACGTGGCACTCACACACAGACAAATGTGGCACACACACACACACACACACACACACACACACACACACACACACACACACACACACACACAGAGGCCATCAGTATTTAGAATCTCATCTCCTGTTGACTCTTATCTCTTATGCTCCCCAGTTCACATCCCTTCCAAACCTCTCCCATTTATCTCCCATCACTCCCACATTCCTGGCCCCCACTCAACCCACCTCTCTCCTCCAACCCACCTCTCTCCTCCAACCCACCTCTCTCCTCCAACCCACCTCTCTCCTCCAACCCACCTCTCTCCTCCAACCCACCTCTCTCCTCCAACCCACCTCTCTCTATGCATGTGGTCGCCTATCCATTTAGCCATCTGCCCCTTGCCCATCCTTCCTTGTCATTCTATTCCTTCCTTCTACCCAGCCCCTGTGGCTCACCTCTCTCTGTCAATAACTGCCACTCCACTCAGCACCAACGCCATCAGCGCCATGCGATGCATGTGGTCGCCTATCTATCCATCAGCTCCCTTTATCCCCATCCCTTCCACTCCCCATGCAGTCAGACCTCTCCCTTTCAATCCCGTCAACTCCAGCCGACACAAACGCCATCAGCGCCATGCGGTGCATGTGGTCGCCGATCGACTCGGGCTCCTGCACCTCATTCTCACCTCCTTTCCACACACCCCTCACTACCTGAACTCACCTCTCTCTGTCGATCCCCTCCACTCCACTCAACACAAACGCCATCAGCGCCATGCGGTGCATGTGGTCGCCGATGGACTCTGGCCCCTGCACACAGGCCTCAACACTCACCTCTCCCTGTCAATCCCCACAACACCACACAGCACAAAACGCCATCAGCGCCATGCGGTGCATGTGGGCGCCGATCATCTCTCATTGCCCCCCAACCCCCCACTCTCATCTCTCCCTCCCTCACCTCACCTCTCTCTGTCAATCCCTTCAACACCACTCAGCACCAACGCCATCAGCGCCATACGGTGCATGTGGTCGCCGATCGACTCTGGCCCCTGCACCTCCCAAATCTCTCAACCCTCACCTCCTTTCCACACACCCCTCACTACCCAACCCCTGCAACTCACCTCTCTCTGTCAATCCCTTCAACACCACTCAGCACGAACGCCATTAAAGCCATACGATGCATGTGGTCGCCGATCGACTCTGGCCCCTGCACTCCCCGCTTCACCCACCCTGTCCTTTTCAGTGTCTGGAATACAGGAAGGCGAGGTGGGGGGCAATGAGGGGATAGGGAGGGGGTGAAGGGTGGGAAAAGGGTTGCAGAAATGTGGTTTCAGCGGAATTTCAGCACAATTGCCACACAAAAATCGGCACCAGCAACATCAAAGCCATGCGGTGCATGTGGTCGCCGATTGACTCGGGCCCCTGCACTCCCCGCTTCACCCATCCTGTGCGCTTCAGAGTCTGGAGGTGTGGGGGGGGGAGAGGGGAGAGGGCGGACGGGAATGAGGGGAGGGGAAGCAGGGGGAGGGGGGAGGTTTGTGGTCGCCGATTGACTCGGGCCCCTGCACTCCCCGCTTCACCCACCCTGTCCTTTTCAGTGTCTGCAGGGTGCGTGGAGAGAGGGGAGGTGGGAGGGGGGGAAATGAAGCGAGGGGAAACAGGGGAAGGGGGGATGGGGAGGGAGGGGCAGGGAAGTGGGTGAGGGGTGAGGAAAGGGGGTTCCACTTGAGTCTCTAGCACAATTGCAACACCAATACTGCCACCAGCGCCATTACAGCCATGCAGTGCATGTGATCGCGCATCGTAATTAGGTGCCTAAACATCTTTCTCTCAAACTCGCGCAAACCGTCCCCGAATCGCGCTGTGGGACACTCGCGAAGCGCGCTAGGCTACGCGCTCATTCTAGTGCTTAGGTCGCTTCGGGGATATCGCAAAACCTATACAAGCAATCGCCTTTCGAACGTGATTCTGAGATTTCCTAAATTTCACACACACAGTGTGATACGCTGATAAGGGGAATCCGACATGTCGACCATCGGATCATCGGACCTTTAGCGGCTGGATCAACATCAAGAAATCGACGGCTGACGATGCCTCTGCTGGACCAATCGTGGTGACCCCCGCGGAAGGAGCTGCTGCCACTCCCGTCACCGTCGCTTCCGCCATTCCCGTCTCCGCCGCTTCCGCCATCCTCACCCCTTCCGCGGTCGGTTCCGCTGACCCCGCCCCTGCCGCCGTTTCCGCCAGTCTCAACGCTGTCCGCGATCCAGAAGAGAAGCTGAAAATGCTCCGCGCGTGCTGCGCGAAAGGGGGAAGCGAAGGAGTGGCAACGCGAAACGCGGGCGAAAGTTGGTGTTGTAGCTGCTGCTGCTGCTGCTGCCTTTGGATAGATTCTACACTACCGTCCCTGACAAGGCTATGCGGGGTTAGATTCTTAGAGCTACAGTTGCGGACTAAGTTGGCTAGATCCGTTTTAAAGCTAGTCGCGACGGAGATTCTTGAAAGATGCGAACGCGTTAGAAGCACTCGCGAGATATGCATTCCGCTTGGAACTGACGCAAGCACGGAATGAGGGGGAGAAAGCACTCGAAACCAAGTGGCGTGAAGAACGAAATTCCAAGTAAGGAATATTGATTGTTGCAGGGGTCGAACCCGCGTCTCCTGGATAACGAGGTGCGAGACCCCAGACATTATATATACCCCAAACCCGAATCCAACCATCTCAAAACGCCACGTGGCACTTGTTGCCCACAACATACGAATGTACAGTTCTAGTCTGTCGCTTTATAAACCGAAGTTCGAGTTGGAGAAGGCATACTTACCTGGGCGGGGTCAATCGGTGATCAAGAAGGCCGATGGCCTAGGGGCGGGCCCGCCATTGCACTTCGGCCGGCCCTGTCCTTAGCACGCCGGAACTCCCGGTGATGCACGTCATAATTTGTGGCAGAGGGGGCTCGCGTTCGCGCGGCCCCTACCAAAGCAAAACTCGAAAATGGGATTGGTCAAATAACCATTTGGTTTTGCAAAGGCTTGTACTGTTTCCCTTCACACGTAATCCAGAAATATCTCTGATTCGTGGAAGAATGGAACTATTTTCAGGCCAGGATACAGGGAGGAAATTTTACAGGAAATTCATGACAGCAATTCAAACCAAGCAACTCAACCTAGTACTCTAACGAAGGAACTCAACCTAGTACTCTTTCTACTTCAATCAACCGTCTACACATGCAAACTCTTAGCAAACTGTGGATGCCGCCAACTCAGGATACAGTACTTTATGTACAGAATTAATCAAATCACACATTCGGCAGTCCAGCCACGCGTGTTATCCATGCCTCATCCATCTTTCATCTATGTTTCATCCCTGCTTGCGTCACACATTCGGCAGTCCAGCCACGCGTGTTATCCATGCCTCATCCATATTTCATCCCTGATTCCGTCACACATTGATGCCGCTGCGTGCTGCCACACGCGCCATTTGCTCGCTCTATGACACTCAGCAACCCAGCCTCGCAAGCATGTGAAGAGCCAACTGTGATGAGACGATCTTTGAGTCGACTCAGAAATCGCCTCTGAGACACTCAGCAACCCAGCCTCACAAGCATGTGAAGAGCCAACTGCTGGTAATGATGTTGCTGCTCACCCTGCTGCTGGGCTGTTGATGCTGCTGCTGTTGCTGCAATACCTACCCTCGGGAGTCATCCTTGCTACAACCATGCTTCAGCAGCAGCGCTGCAAGCACGTGAAGAGCCAACTGCTGCTGCTGCTGCTGCTGCCGCTGTTGATGATGCTGGTGCTGTCGCTGACGCTGTCCTTGCTCTGACATCTCTCTCCCTTCCTCCCTCCCCTCCTCTCTCCCCTCCTTCCCCTCCTCCCTCCCCTCCTCTCTCCCCTCCTTCCCCTCCTCCCTCCCCTCCTCCCTCCCCTCCTGCTTCACACAGAGCAGCAGCTTTTTTTCGTTCTCCCACTGCACCTCTTGTGCTTGCTGCTGCCTCCTTCGCTTTTCCAGCAGCGACCCCACCTCTTCCTGCATCTGCATTCTATCTGAAATGAAAGGACCAGTGGCAAGGTGCCTTCCATTCAAACCCACATGCCCATCTGAATGGCCAGGACCAGCAGAAAGACACTGACCATCATCTGCCCCTCTGCCCGTGCGACGGGCATAAAAACAACATCTGGCCCCACCTGCTTCCACTGCTCCCACTCCCCATCGGCGTTTCGAGCCGACTCAAAATTCAGCTGCACCAACTGCCCCGCCTCACCCTCACCCCCACATGCTACTGCGTTGCTGCACGTGCTGCTGCCGCCGCTGCTTGAGCAAGGAATGGTAGGGATGGTTGGGATGGCCCATCCATTCGTCACCTCGCAATTCAGCATGCCTTGCACGTCTTGGGAGAATCTTTGAGGCGTCTTAGACGTGGTCGCTCTCGCTGCTTCGGTCCTGATTCGCTTTGCAATCCGGTCACCACATCCCAATGTCACCTCATTGTGTTCCCGTAAACCAGCCCCATGCTGTGCCATGCCCCCTTGCATGTCTTGTACCGAACCTTGCCGTGCCTTGCTTCTCAGCAATTCGTGTGCCACGTCAGCAGCGTTGGGATCAGATGCGTCGGCTTCCGCAGCCTCAGGCTCAAAAGCCTCGCTATAAGCACGCTTCATTATCCACCCATTGCCGCTCTTGGATCGTAGCAGCATGTCTGCCCCTTTAACTGTTGATGGCATAGCATTCACCCCTCCCAGCGTATTTTTGTTTGGCTCATAACTCACTGATGCCTTTTGAGACGTCTCAAAATTATTTCTGTTCGGCTCATAACTCACTGATGCCCCTGGCTTTTCAGCAGCAGCAGTGGCGCCAGCAGCAGCAGCCGCAGCAGCAGGGGTAGTGGTAGTGGCGTCAGCATCAGAAGCTGCTGCAGCAGCAGGAACAGCAGCAGCAGCAGCAGGAATCGCAGCAGCAGCAGCAGCAGCAGCAGCAGCAGCAGCAGCAGCAGCAGCAGCAGCAGAGGCATGTGCGTTGGAAGCATGTGTAGGGGGCTGGAGGGAAAGGGCTAGACTAAGGTCAGAAGCCTGTGATTTGAAGTCACTTTTCCTGCTGGAAGAAACTGGGAAGAGAGGAAGCTCTAATGCTGATGCTGCTGATGCTGGCGCAGTGTTCGGTCGAGGCAGAGCGGTGGTGAGTGGTAACCGAGCGGTGGTGGGTGGCAGCAGAGCGGTGTTGGGTCGTTTGAAATCGGTGCTGAAACCCAGGCTGGAGCCCAGCAGTTGCGCCGAGGCACGTCTAAAAACGGTTGAATCCGGTTGGGTGGCTTTCTGAAGGGTCGTGGAAAGGCGGAAGGGTGCATTCACATGGGTGGTGGGATATTGAAGGGTGGTTGTTGAATTGGAGGGATGATCACGGCCGTTGATTGCAGATTGAAGGGCCTGGATGAACGCAACGACAGTTGAGGGAGTAGCAGCAGCATCACGTGCAGAGGCGGAAGGTTCTGAGCAGATGCCTGAGTACGGGGTTTGAGGGGGGGCGTTGATTGCGGATTGAAGGGTCTGGATGAACGCAGCGACAGTCGAGGGAGTAGCAGTTGCAGCAGCAGCAGTAGCAGCAGCAGCAGGGGCTGTAGCAGCAGCAGCAGCAGCAGCAGCAGCAGCAGCGGGATCTGTAGCAGTAGCAGCAGCGGCAGCAGGGGAAGCACGTGCAGGGGGTGAGGGGTCTGAACGGAGGGTGGAAAGGTGACGGGTGGCGACGCTAGAGGATGGTTGAGGAAGGCCGTTGATTACGGATTGGAGGGTCAGGATGAACGCAGCTGAGGGAGTAGCAGCAGGGGCTGTAGCAGCAGTAGGGGTTGTAGTAGTAGCAAGAAGGGGAGCACGTGCAGGGGGTGAGGGGTCTGAACGGAGGGTGGAAAGGTGACGGGTGGCGGCGCTAGTGGAAGGTTGAGGAAGGCCGTTGATTGCAGATTGGAGGGTCAGGATGAACGCAGCAACAGCTGAGGGAGCAGCAGCAGCAGGGGCTGTAGCAGAAGCAAGGGAAGCACCCGCAGGGGCTGCAGCACCAGAAATGGAAGCACATTTACGGGTGGATGTGTCTGATTGGTTGGCTGAAGATGGGGATTGAGAAAGGCCGTTGATTGCGGATTGGAGGGTCAGGATGAACGCAGCAACGGCTGAAGGATCGGTAGAAGCTGCAGCGGCAAATGGAGCAGCAGCACCTGGGAAAACACCTGGGAAATCACCTGAGGATCCACCTGAGAAAACACCTGACGCACCGCCTAGGAAAACACCTGAGGCTGCACCTGAGGCAGTACCTGAGACAGCACCAGAAACAGCACCTGAGCCAGTAATACCTGGGTTATTCAGAGTCACTGGGACACTAGTAACGCCCACGGCAACCTCCCCACTGAGTCCGCTCATGCAATTCCTTCTGCTCCCAATCCTCGGGCCAGGAGTCAAATCGGATAATATTTCGAGATCGCCTACAAGCGGGGAGGAAAATTCCTTCCCGCCTGAGCCTCTCACAATGGTATTAGCTGCAGCGTTCCCCTCCGACCTCTCCCGCGCAGCAGCAGGCGGGTTGACAGTAGTAGTGATCATAGTAGTGGTTCCCGTTTGTCTTCCTGTCGGGGTGGTAGTGAGTGGGTCGATTCTCCGTCGTTGCTTGTTCACAAGGCTGTGCCAGCGGCTCTGAATCTGGTAACCAGTTCGCGAGGGGAATTTCGCCGAGGCGATCGCGGCCCACTTGGTTTCGCCGTGGGAGCCCCATGCAACGCTCGCGAGCAGTTTTGCGTCTTCTTCTGGTGTGAAGGGCGCACGGCTGACCTGCATTGGGGGAAGGAAAGGGGTGAAAGAGAGGGGAGGGGGGGGGGGGGGGAAAGAGCGATTGCTGAGTCGACTCACAGGCACCCCACTTGGTTTCGCAGTGGGAGCCCCATGCCACGCTCGCGAGCAGTATTGCGTCTTCTTCTGGCGTGAATGGCGCGCGGCTGACCTGCATTGGGGGAAATGGGACCGGGGTGGGGGCGGAGGAGAGGGAGGGAAGTAGGCTAAGCTGTCATGAATGGGTGCAAGAGGCGGGACAATTTTTGAGTCGACTCAAAGGCCGGCCACTTGGTTTCGCCGTGGGAGCCCCAAGCCACGCTCGCGAGAAAAGGTGCGTCTTCTTCTGGCGTGAAATGGCGCGCGGTTGACCTGCATTGGGGGAAGGAAAGGGGGTGAGGGGGGGAAAGAGAGGGGGGGAACGAGCGATTGCCGAGCCGACTCAAAGGCGGCCCACTTGGTTTCGCCGTGCAACGCTCGCGAGCAAAAGTGCGTCTTCTTCTGGCGTGAAATGGGTTGACCTGCAGTATTGAAGGGGGGAGGGGGGGGAGAGAAGAGGAGGAAAAGAAGGGGGGAAAAGAAGGGGGGAAAGAGGAGAAGGGGGGGAAGGGGTGAAGGGGGAAGAGAAGAGGAGGCAGTAGCGTGTCTTCCTCTGGCGCGAACGGCGCGCGGTTGACCTGCATTGGGGGGGGAGGGGCGGAAGAGAAGGGGGGAAAGAGGAGAGCGGGGGGGGGGGGGGGGGGGGGGGGGGAGGGAGGGGGGGAGAGAGGGAGAGGGGCGGGGGAAGAAAAAAGGGGAGGGTGGGGTAGCGCCGATCCCCCTTTTCCCCTCACCCTTACCCAATTTTCCGGACGCTCTCAGCCGAAGCGCCGCGACGCGTACCTTAGGACTGGACCGGCATCTCTGCGCGTCTGCAGAGAACCACACCCCCCCCGCCCCCACACCCTCCCCCGCACCTCCCTCTCCCCTCCCCCCTCCCCATCCCCTCCCCTCCCCGCAGTCGAAGCGCAGCGACGCGTACCTTAGGGTCAAGGTAGCTGGACCACCGCAGACGGCAGCTCTGCGCGTCGCGTTTCAACGCAGGCGTCGCCTCCGCCACGTGCTTCCAATTCCCCACGCCGTACTTTGCCACGTAAGCGCGCAGCTCCGCGTCTTCCTCCGCCGTCCACGACCCGCGCTTCCGCCGCGATTCGCGGTCCTTTTTACACCGGGAACTCGCGGCGCGGCGCGCGGGGATAGGGTCAGCGGCGCCCCAGGCCGCGCTACCGACGCCGCCATCGGCGCCGACATTTGCGGAGCTGTTGAGAAGCCGCCGCCGAGGCGTTTCTGTCGTCTCTGCCGCCATTATTTAGCGGGAAACACGGGCGAGGGGGGCAGATTCAGCCAGAAATTTCTGCCGCTTTACTGGGCCCGGCTACAGCAGCGCGCAACAGTGATAAGAAACGAGACGCGCTAGAGGGAAATGGGTGGCTGCTGCTACCTTTCCCGTAGAGAAACGTAATCGTAGCTGCTACCACCTCCTCATCACGTCGGATCAGGCGGAAGAAAGCGGAAGGAAGCGAAGAGCTGCGACGGTGCAGCAAACCCCCAAGCCAGAGCATGATGGTACAGTGCAGCATGCACCAGAGCATCATGAATGCATCACTGTACACACCGGCCCACGTGGTTTCGTCCCACTGTTCATCAGACAAGACGCGTTATTTTTCTAGGGTGTCTGAATCCCGAATCTGAAAACAGACAACACGCCAGCCTGTCGGGGGTCGTTGTGCCGCCGAGCCATGGCGGCTGCTCTGTCGTGAAGGCGGGAATACGTGTCTCGCAGATGCAAGTGGATAGGTGTGATGATCTCGCAAACGGCCGGTTCTGACGTCCGCCGTCCATCTGACAGGGGGTGGCCGACTTGCCTCCCCGTAACTACTGTAGCATGTGCGTAGGTTTGGACGGAAGCGAACCGATTTGTACGTCGTTGACGTTCGGTTCCAACCGTCAACTGTAGCTTCGAAGGTTGACGGGGACTTGCATTCGGCCCACTCCTTTCTGTCGGCTCCTAGCAGTATATCCCGCGCGTCCGTTCCATTCCATTCCGTTCCCTGCCCTTCAGATTTATACACTCACACCGATGCTGCACGAAACTGTAGACCAGACTGGAAAAGGAGACTGGAGCCGCTTTTCCAGGCGCTTCGCCCTAAGTAAAAACGCACTAAGCGCAGCGAGTTTCGTAAACGAGGGCCTAGGAAACCCTCTCCGTTACTCTACATCTCCCCACCCCACAGTCGGTCCTTCGCATGACCCGTTTCGTGTCGTTTCGTCCACGAAACCACAGTGGGTACACCAGAGATCCATATGATCGCTTGCTGCATTTCTAACGTTTTCAGTACGCAACGGTGCGGCGAATGGCTCTGCTGCCGCCAGCTGGAATGATGGAAATCAAGTGGCGTGATGTGGTGAAATGGGATGGTCTGGAAGAATTGTGGGTGTTCTGAACAGAAGAGTTCCAGCTGTGCATTTCAATGACATCTAGCAAACGCCAACATCTAGAGTAGACGACAAAACGATACTGGAACTAATTTGGGTGCTGCTGACTTGGGTGAGTAGAGGGAAAGGCGGTGATGGCGGAAGTGACGGAAGTGGCGGAAAGGAAGGGAGTCGTAGGGACGAAATGGAAGGCGAGGAGGTCAGTGGCTGCTTCGGAGTTGGGAGTTGGGTTGGGAAGTGTCTCGCACCCCCGAACTAACGTGATACGTACGTAATTCGCTCCTCGTAAAGGCGGTGGCATGCGCTGGCACACACACAAAGGTGCGAACCCTGTTATGACATGACAACCCTTTCACTGCTATGTTTCCCCGTTCTTAGCTAAGAGGTGTGCGAGAATGGGGAAGAAGGCATTTGACCTTTTCCCGGCTGTATCCTTGTCCGTTCAAATCTTGGTGAGGTTCAAATCTTGGCGAAATATCACACTGTATTCTTTTTGTTACGGGCGTTCTCCCAGACACAAACCGTTGAAATAACGAAAATTTTCCGATACGACCACTGGCTTGCCTGGAGGCTGGAGCCCTGCAACGGCAGTGACGCAAACTCGGAGAACACAAGTGAAGGCTCGGTGTCACTTTGGGGGAAAGAGGTTCGGAAGACGCAGGTTGTCAAGCGCACTCTCGGCTCGGAATTGATTGATCTGGTGCACCCTCAAGTACCGAGCCGAACTCCCCGACCTCCGAAGGCTCGAACCCGAACCATAGAGATTACCACCAGCCCGCCAATCGCAAGAATGAATTCCTCTGAACCTACTGTACCTTCTCGCTTCTGTCTGTGTTCATGGGCGTTTCCGTAGCTTGTTCAGATTACTTGACCATCGTCTCACTTAACTTCAATGCAGAGCGTTTCGTTTTCATTTCAGAACGGTTAGGGAGGGTTTCGAACATCCGTAACTTCCTTACCACAGAACTCCCGAACCATAGCCTCAAATCTTCCGTTTCCCCAACCACTACCCAACCAGAAACCAACCACTTCACACCTGCCCACCATTTCACGCCGAGCCGTACCCCCATGGCCAAATGCCCGATCTGCTTTATAGAGTGCTTCGATGACGTACAGGATCGTTAAGAACTATTTGCATTGTAATGGGAAGCTTAGTTAGGGACGCAATCATCCTCCAGTTTTTCCGCAACTTATTTGTCATTAGCTTGTTTCTCGTTCGCAGCTCAATCATGGTGGTTGTTACGAGTGCAATTGAGTGAGCGAGCGAGAATTGCACTATCGAAGCAAAAGTACAAATGAGCGAAGGCATGAGCGAAGAATATATAGCGAAACTACAGTGGTAACGGCTATGTGTGGAAAATGGGTTGCGCGACGGGCCTAGCGCCGAGGTTGGGAGATGTCGAGGCGGAGGTCCGGAGCGCGGGTTACCAACCGGACCGTGAGGTTGGGTCGCGTCGTGGACGGTGGCGGGAATGGTGTCGAAGCGAGTGTCGCGAGTGGTAACGGATTACTGTTGGGTGCTGTGGGCGGGAACAGTGGTGTACGCGCTGAGCAGGGACGCGAAGTAAGGAAAAGGAATTTTCCTTACACTACCCCCCCCCCAAGGAGGCCCTTCTTACGAGAGCGCGTGTACATCTCGGAAGTTGCGGCTGCGCAGATACTCAGTGAGGACAGGGTGATTCTCAATTCTATCTAAGGGGACCCAGTTGTCCTCGGTGGGCGTGCGGTCTTTCCAGCGGATCAGGAATTCGATTCTGCGGGCTCCCCGTGGGTCACGTACTCGGTGGCTCAGTATTTTCTCAGGCGTGATGATTGGCTCTGTCGGCGGTCGTGTCATGCTGGCGGGGCGGTTGCGAGGCAGTTGGCTGGTAGAGGGCACATATGGGCGAAGCAGGCTGACGTGGAATGACGGGCTGACGTACCAGTCAGCAGGGAGGAGGAGATGGGCGGTGACGGGTGTGATCATGTGGCTGATGCGAAATGGCCCGCAATATCGGGGGCGGAGTTTTGGAGTGATGGGCAGGCGGAGGTTTTGAGTGTCGAGTAAAACTAGGTCGTCTGGCTGGTAAGTGACAGGTCGGCGGTGGCGGTCAGCGTTGCGTTTAGCGATGATGTTTGATTTTTTTATTGCTTTTGCTGCTCGGGTCCGTGCTGGTTGCAGTATTTCCGCGAACTGTTGCGCGCGTGGGACTGGGTTGTCGGGATTCGGGGTCATGGGTACTGTGGGGTCTTGTCCGTAGTTCAGGTAAAACGGTGACTGTTGGGTCGTGGCGGATGGCGAGTTGTTGTACGCGAATTCGATGAGTGGCAGTTGCTGTTCCCACGTGGTCGGGTCGTCGCACGTGGCCCGGATGAGCTGTTCCATGGTCTGATTTGTCCGTTCTGTCTGTCCGTCGGTTTCGGGGTGGTTTGATGAACTGAACTGCAGTTGCGTGCCGAACTGCTGCCACAGGTTCCGCCAGAAGTTGCTGGTGAATTTCGTGTCGCGGTCGCTGATGATCGCTGCTGGTATCCCGTGTAATCGAACGATGGTGGCGATGAAGAGGCGAGCTGTTTCCTCGGCTGTGATTGATTTCTTGCATGCTGCGAAGTGTGCCATTTTCGTCAACCGATCGACGATGACCAGGATCGCGTCGTTCCCACTTGATCCAGCCGGTAACCCCGTGACGAAGTCCATCGTCACCTGCTGCCAAGCACGCTCTGGGGGTGGTATCGGCTGCAACTGTCCTGCCGGTCGTTGTCGTGACGACTTCATGAGCTGGCAGGTGGGACACGATGCCACGTGTCGTTGAACGTCGGTCAACATTTCGGGCCAGTAATAATACCGCTGCAGCTGCTGCCGTGTTTTTTCTACCCCGAAATGTCCCGAGGTAACTCCGTTGTGTGCCTCCTGTAACAGTAATTCCCGTAGCAATGTGTATCCTGGTACCCAGATGCGGTCGGTCCCGGCTTTTACGTGATAGACTCCCTTTGCTGCTGCGAACTGTTGCGAATTTCCTCCTGTGAAGAATGGATCCGTTTGGTACCCGTGGGTAAATAGGCCTGTCAGTAGTGGGCTGGTCTGGGCGAGTAGTATTGCATGGATCTGGGCAGTGGGGCGGGTCAATGCGTCGGCAATGTTCGATGCCCCTTTTTTGTAGGTGACTGTGTAGTGGAAGTTTGACTCGAGGAAATCGAGCCAGCGAATCTGTCGTGGGTTGAGGTGGGGCTGTGCGCGGAGATACTGTAATGATTTATGATCTGTCCGTACTGTCACGTCTGCGCCGGTCAAGTAACAGCGCCAAACCTTGAATGCATGCACGATCGCGAGCATTTCGCGGTCGTGTATCGGGTAATTCTTCTCGGGCGGATGCAGTTTTCGTGACTCGTATGCGATGGGCTGTAAACCGTTGCCGAAATCCTGTAGCAGTACGGCTCCAATGGCGATGTCGCTTGCGTCTGTAACTACTTCGAATGGGCGGTGTGGATCAGCGATGCGCAGTACGGGCGGTGAGCAGAGAACATGTTTCAGGGCAGAGAAGGCAGCATGCTCTTTCTCCCCCCACGTAAAAGTGACCCCCTTCCGCAGTAAATCCGTCAGTGGGGCAGTTAACCGTGCCATATCGGGGACGAACCGACGCACATAATTAACGAACCCTAAAAAACTCTGCAGCTCCGTGATGTTCGTTGGGGGGTGCCACGCTTTTACCGTGTCCAGCTTCTTTGGGTCGATTTCAACTCCAGCCTCCGAAATAACGTGCCCCAAAAATTCTAACCTATCCTGGAAGAACTCGCACTTGGAACCCTTGGTCAGTAATCTGTGCTCGTCTAAAACCTTAAATACTGCTTCCAGATCTGCTAAGTGCTGCTGCTTATCGCGACTGTAAACTA